TAGGATTATAGGCATGTGCCAACGCTTCCTGAATAACTGTTTCTTTCTTTCTTTTGTAGTGCTGGGGATCAAACCCAGCACTTTTACATTTGAGGTAAGCACTCTTATCAACTGAGCTATATCCCCAGCCCTGAATATCTGAATTTTGAAGATTGTTGGCTGTCTTGGTTTGAACAAATACTAAAGATCCTCAGTTGGAAGTTGTATACTACTAATCCTAATACAATTCAATAATGTCTATTAAATGTTTATATTTGTGTACCACTTCAGAAAGGAGAGCATACTAGAACGTTTTCAAGAATTTCTTAAAAGGTGGTACTAAGGCTTAAACCTGGGGTGCTCTACCACTGAGCTACATTCGTTCAATTTTTATGTATTTTTCTCAGTACTGGGGACTGAAACTAGGGATACTATACCACTGAATTAACATCACCAGCCCTTTTCATTTCGATACATGGTCTCACTAAATTGCCCAGAATGGCCTTGAACTTTCCATCCTTCTGTGTTAGCTCCCTAGCTTTTGAGATTACAGGCATGTTCCCTCCCCACAGAGTAACCTTTTTATTTTTTTTAAACATACCTACTGACTGCCCCTTCAAGGTCTCTCTGTTTGGCTGGGGGTCCTCCTCCACTATCTGAGAATCCACGCCTGCAATTAAAAATGTCCAATATAAAAGCACTTGAAATACAAAGACAGAACTGGTATTTCCACTTGCAAGAAAATCTGGTTGAATTAAAGAAAAAACAAAGTCTTCCCACTGAAGTACCCTTAAATATGCATTCACTCCAAAAAGCTCCCCCCCCACCCCCGTTTCTTTTTAGTACTGGGGTTTGCACCCTGGGCTTAGTGCATGCAGTAAGCAACATCCACCCCTCCAAAAGAGTTTTATATTACTTTAAAAAGTACAATTAAGTTTATATAGAACAGTAAATATATTCTTTAATCCCTAGCTGCACACACAAATGAAGATGTAGGATAACTACACAGAAAACTAGCATATTACAGCATTAAACAAAATAAAGATAACACAAACACTGTTATTCTAATATTTGCATGAATTTGGTTCAAATACATTAACAGAGTAAGTACCAACAGTTACAGTACAAGTTTAAGTCTTAAGGAAATCTTACCTCAGCAATAAACTACCACGTCCTCTACCTCCACCAGGACCAGAAAGGGCCAGCAATCTGGCTTGGATGGGCCTACAAAATATTTACAATCAATTAAAAAAATCATATGTAGACATATCTAGGGCACTTTCACAGATGTGGTACATCACAGGGAATAACAATCGTTCTAAAATGACGGTTTAATATCCATGTATTTTAAAGCAGATCGGGAAATATAATTTCATTAAATTTCCTTCTTTTTCCAAGACCGCTATCTCAGAATTTGCACTGACTCGATGCCACCACACATTAACAAACCTGAATCCGGCCCTAGCCCGCCATCCCCAAGAAAGTGGCACCTAGTCCACAGCCTGTGTGCGAGGTAGCCGAGTGTGGCCCAGGTGGGTCTCCGGGCCAGGCCGGGCCGAGTGGCCGCCGCAGCGCGAATGGGCTTTGTGCTGTAGTTCCGGGCCTGCAGCGCCGAGGGCGGGAATCGGCAGTCCGGGCCTCCTCACAGGTCGGGAGGCCATCCTAGCGCTACCAGGCCTCCCTCTCCTTCCGCAAGTACCTAAGCCCAGCGCCCTACAGTGGGAGCCAGGAGGCTCCCCACCCCGCCGAGGACGGGGTTCTACCGCCGCACGGGGAACAGGCCTGGATGTTCCAGCCCTCTCAGAGAGGGCCGACCTCCCCGTCCCCAATTCACGTAGACTTGAGATGCCTCTTCGAGCTCGCAGCTCCCGTTCGGCCGTTACCTCACGTCATTCGGATCTCTCCCGGTGAGCTTGCGAATATTCTCATCCACATTCTTTAGGCTCTCTTTGGCTTTTTCTAGCTGTTCCTGCAAAGTTCTCACTGCGACCGCCATCTTCTCCCTGCAGTAGGCTTCGACGCTGCTCTATAGGCCGCGCCGAGCCGTGCCGCGCCGCGAGACGCGAAACGACTGACAGCTGGGTTCGGCCAATGATAATAGGCGTTGTTTTTTAGCCTCAACCACTCAGAAACCGGAAGGGGGAGAAGCTTCCAGCCTTTGTGACCCTGGGCCAATGAAAAGTCGGCAAGGCGGTCTGCTCCTTCCCCTGTTAGCTGCGGGTGGCTTGGCTCGGCTTCTAGCGCAGAGCCGGGGCGGGCTTGAGAGGCCCTGATTTTTCCGGGACGCGAGTTCGCGGTGCCGCAGTTCTGGCAAGGAGGGCGCGGAGCTTTCTATCACTTTTAGCTTGTGTTGTCACGTGCCTTAAATTGTTTTAACCACAAAATTATACTGAGCTGGGCAGAAGCTAGTCTACTTTGCCTCACCTCAATGATTTAATTACGAAAGGGCGCGGCCATTATGTTGATGCGCATGCCCCGAGAGGAGTTGTGCGCACGCTTCCCTTGATTAAAGTGGGCGAAGCCCAGAACGAATAGGAAATCATTAGTCGTGATAGCTAACAATTAGTATAGGCTAGTTTTGTTGTGGACGCTCTGTGAAAGGCTTTACGTACCTTCTTCCTCACAAATTAAAACCTTGGATACAAAGCTTGTTATTATTAATTGGGAATTTGAGATTGGGGGTTATGCCAGTCGAGAATCACAGTCTGATTAAAACCTTTGCAAGGCTCTACTAAAGGGAAAAAGCGAGAGTCGGGCCGTTTCACCTGACCTTGAGCTTGTTGGTTTAATAAATGATCTGGGGGAGCAGCCCTATTTGTGAAGTAACTGTCCTCCAGCTTCTGGTTCTGCCAACGTGGGAACTGGTTTTGCTCCAGAAATATATGTACAAATTGTTGCTGAGAAAATACTTCCCGGGGCTGAGGTGTAGCTGAGTGGTAGAACACGTTCCATCCCCAGCACCTCAAAAAGAAAAATCTGAAGTAGCTCTGTGGGGAGGAAAAGTGTGGAGTCAGATAATAAACATAAATTACATGACATGTTAGCAAGAAAGGTTATAGAAAAAAGTAGAGCTGGATCTGGTTTAGGGGTATGATGGCAATTACTTAATTGAATTGTGAGTATGGCCATGTCATTATTACAATACGGTTTACAACCTCAGGCAGTACCCAAGGGTTGAGAGTGTAGTAATAGGTCCTATTTTTTTTTCCCCATAGGCAAATGCTTGTAGACTTAACCAAAAACTTGGGGTTCATATTCCTGCTTCCACACGATCTATTTTTAGGATCCTGGGCGATTTAACAGTCTGTTTTATAGAGACGATCAGTACAATGCTGTGTTCATCATTTAGTAGGTCCTCAGTACATATTAAATTCCTTTGTTCTCCAATAGATTTTTTTTTTCTTTTGGTACTGGGAATTAAACCCAGGTTGCTTTACCACTGAGTTACATCCCCTGCACTTTGTTTTTTTTTTTTTTTTTAAGTTGTAGATGGGCAGAATATTTTTGTTTATGGTGCTGAAGATGGAACCCAGGGCCCCACACACGTGGGAGGCAAGCACTCTACCGCTGAGTGTAACTCCAGGCCGTCCCCTGCGCTTTTAATTTCTATTTTGAGATAGGGTCTTGCTAAATTTCTTAAGCCCTCACTATGTTGCTCAGGCTGGTCTGGAACTTGGGATCCTCCTGTCTCAGCCTCCCAAATCACTGGGATTACAGGTATGTGCCACTGGCTTCTTCAAAACATTATGAAAATCTCATGTTATTGTTGTGTGGAAATCAGCCTTAATAAATTGGTTAACTGTTTATTTTTTGACCTCTGTGGTGGGCTTAGTTCCTTGATGGTGGTGAGAATTATCTGAACATAAAGAATTATCTGATTTCACACATATAGAAAATTTTAATGCTGAAAACATTGAGATAATGGTGGCAAAATAGACTTCAAAATTACACTACTGTTCTCAAAAGCTTAGGTGTGAAAAAAAAGCTTAGGAGGAAATTTTATGCTTGATTTATGTGATGAGTGAAATAAACTGATTAAAATATCAGAAGAGACATGTAAAAAACATAATTAAGGAACATCATCTTAAATTCCTATGAAAAGAGTCTGGAGGTGGGAGGTTATTGATAACAATTTGAAAAAAAAATTATGTAAATTTGGGAGAAGCAGTGAATATGCTTGAAAGAAAAATCCACTTTATGATTAGAAAGCAAAGAACTAATCACAGGCTAAGCAATATGTTTAAGCCAGAGTTTGCCAAATTTAAAATGTAATTTGGGGGCTGAGGTTGTAGCTCAGTGGTAGATCACTTGCCTATATGTGTAAGGCCCTGGGCTCAATCCCCAGCACTACAAAAGTGAATAAATAAAAGTAATATGTAGCATGTGTATTTGCCTCTGTGTGGAGTTAAGTCTCAATCTGACTTAGATGCTTAGAAGTTCCATCTCAGGGACAACTTTTCCAAATTCTTTAGCACTATCTCATTTACTCAATCCTCTGATTAGTTTATATTTTCTTGTTCAAGAATCTTTTGTCTTTTGGTTATACCTTCACTGCCTCTTGTCCCTCCCCTTCCTTTGCACCACACAACCAGTAAACTTTCGGTTAGCCAAAATGGCTTTAAATCTTGCATTCCTGGACTTATTCCAATATGGATTGGTCTAACTTCTCAATATATCTAAAATTTGCAGACTGAAAATTGATGATTTATTCACTCTTTATAACCTTTCATATTAGAGAACATGTGGCAGGAAATGGAATAGTTGATGAAGTCAATAAAACATTCTTGTCAAATTGCATTTTATGCAAATTACTACGGAGATGGCAACCAGAGCTCCCTTTTTCCTTTTCGCGGTACTGGGGATTTAACCCATGACTAGCTCCCGGAGCTCCTTAAAACTTCTTTTACCTTCCACTCTTACCGGTCCAACACCGCCTTGTCAAGGGGGAGGAACCTTCTTTCACTTAGGGTGCTGGAGATTCACCCGGGGCCTGGCAAAGGAACTCCGCGACCATAGAGTCGACGAAATGCCGGGGTAGAGGGGACCGGAAGTGGGTTCTTTGCCCCTCGTCCTGGGGCGGGATCGGGTCTCTGCGGTTTTGGTTTGGCTTGCCCTACGGTCCGGCTTTCTCGCTAGACCCTAGGGCTTGGCCCTGCGGGGTGAGCTCTCCCAGGTATCCGGCTTTCCCCAGTACCGACCTTTGGGAAACCAGCGCACTCTTCGGTCTCCTAGCAACTGGGGACCGAGCCTGACGGAGCGCGGCGCAGATCAAGTTGTTCAAGCGCAAGCTTGAAACCCTGGGACCGGCCCAAACCGGAGCAGAAACCCGGAGCTTGGAAGAATAAGCAGGAAATGGCGGACGAGGCATTGTTTTTGCTTCTGCATAACGAGATGGTGTCGGGAGTGTACAAATCCGCGGAGCAGGGCGAGGTGGTAAGTGCTGCCACACGCCCTTGAGATCCTTTGTAGTGACATCTCTTGTTTCCCATGAGTGCTTTCCTTTAAACCCTGGCCCACCATCACCCCACGCTTCCCGAGGTATAGACAAAACTAGTCCCCACCTCCACATGTCCCAAACCCTACAACCTGTAGACTGTCTGCTTTGATACTTGAAGGTTTCTCCCTTTCTCTTTTGTATCTTCTATTTGATTTTTTTGTGTGTGTGTACTACGTGTGGGCCACAAATTTTCTTTCAGTGTTGTTCCTATTAGGATTAACAGGAATGTTAACCGTAGAACTGATTTTGGCATCCTGCTTAATTTTGCTGTCGTTTCCAGCATTTCTGAGCGATCCTCTGAACAGCCCTGACCACAAGTTGAGAATCTTCTTTCCCCATCCCTAACCACTCCAAACAGCTTGAGGACAGAAGGCTGATGAGGTTTGAATTCAAAGCAAAGTTTTCAGATATGACCGATAATTAGAAAACAATTTAATTCAGAAAATATTTATTTTGTCCCCATTATTTCGGAGTTGGTTTTAGGGCCTGGGATTTGTAATAGTGAATGAAACAATGCCCCAGTCCTTGTGGAGGAGTTCTCATTTGCTCATTGATAATTTCGGAAAACATTTAATGTCTGGCTTTGTGGGCCAGACACTGTGCTAGATAAAGAAAATAAACACCTCTGCCTCACAGTCCTTGAGGAATAGGGATTTTAACGAATAATTAATTAAGCATTGGATGGCAATTAGGTAGAAACACGAAGTTGTAACGGATTTTAGGAATGAGATACTCTAACTTCAAGTTAGTAGCCCTTACTACTTTTTTGTGGTGCTGAGGCTGGAACCTCAGGGCCTCATCCATGTAGACAAGAGCTCTATGACCAAGCTACACCCCTAGCCCAGCAACCCTTTGTTCAATGCTGTTGATAAAGAAGTGGAGTAGGAAAACCATTCTAGGCATGGCTAGATTGAATGGGTGGCAAGTGAGAGGAATTGAGAACTTAATTTAGAGCACTGTGTGATCTCATTGGAGGATTTTTGAATAGGAAATATTAAGCTACTAATAGGGAATATGTTGTCCATTTACCTTTTAGGAAGATAATCTGGTGTTTGGGCCAGAGAAGGAAAATATTTGTGGTGCGAAAATCTATGATTGCAGGAGGTGAAGAAGATCTGAATTAAGACAGGAGTGAGAGAGGAGAGGTTTCAAGACAGGAGGTAGAATCTGTAGACCTTGGTTAAGTATGGGAGTGGGAATTGAAAATTATGCCTTGGTGCTTCCTGTTATTGATAGTTCTGAACGTTAGATTTTTTTTTTCCCCAGGGGTCAAAAGGTACCTAAGTATATGATTGCTAGTGGAAAAATAGGAGACAGAAATCAGGTATTGGCCGTTTTTCCATTTTCATTTGTGTGGCAATTTTTAATATAAATGCTGGGATATAAAGCATTAATGCAAATCAAAAAGTTTCAGTGAATAGGTTTCAGCAGTTCAACTTTATAACAATTATAAATAAAACTGTTAAATTTTTCTGGAAAAAAAAAAAGAAAATTATGCCTTGGTTTTTAGCTTGAGAAGCTGGATGGTTATGCTATTAACCAGGAAAGGGAATAAAAGAGAAGAGATAAGCAAGTGAAAATAATAAATTATGCCCCCTCCCTCATGGTACTGAAGATTGAACCCAGGGCTTTACATATGCTAGGCAAGCTGCTTTACTACTGAGCTACTTTTAAAATTTTGGGATAGTGTCTCATTGCCCAAGCTGGCCTGGAACTTGAAATCCTCCTTCCTTGAATCCTCTGAAGTTGATGGAATTACAGGTGTGCCACCACCTCCTTGGGCTAGGTTTAATTTTTGAGGTACTTGTGGAACTTCTATGCTACCAGTTTGTAAACTACAAGAAGAATGGGCAAGATAGATTTAAAAATATCATTAGGAAGACATTAAAGAAAAGTATTGGAAATGAAGTAAATTATATTCTTATTCAGATCTCTCTAGTATATTTCCAAATTACAGATTTTCCTCTTGATCATCAATGTTGGCTGTTTATGTATAGCTGGCTGTAACCATTAGAAATATGCTTTTTTTTTAGAGAAAGGAAATCCATATGTTTTGAATCATTACAAATATATATTTTTTTCTATTGTAATATGTTCATGGTGGGGGGAAAATGAAAGTACAAATAACAAAAAAATGATTTAAAAACAGGTATATAGTAATCTTGATAATTAGATTACATATTGGAATCTGAATATATGAAGGTTCATTGTATTAATGTCTTTTGAGTGTGCTGAAATTTTTTTGTTTAAAAAAAAAGTAAAAAGGATCCAGAAATGGTTTTTAATATCTTTTTAGAATAAAACCATTTCTGAATAACAGAATTTTTAAATATTTTTTATTATAAAAAAATTTAAGTGAAATAAAGTTTCATAATCTTTCCGGAAAGTGAAGTAAACTTTCATTAAGTTCAGAACCAGTGTTCTTATTCTCCAAATCAAGATTTTAATGTTTAATGAGGAATTAAATCTCTAAAATTGAATATGCCCAAATTCATGGTGAATGAATTTAAAAGGTTGATAAAATATTCTGAGGTTTAATTTTTCTTAAAAATTGGGTGCCTAAGCCAGACTCAGTGGCACACACCTGTAATCCCAACAGCTCCAGAGGCTGAGGCAGGAGGATTGAGTTCAAAGCCAGCCTCAGCAATGGCAAAGTGCTAATCAATTCAGTGAGACCCTGTCTCTACATAAAATACAAAATAGTGATGGGGATGTGGCTCGGTCATTGTGTGCCCCTGAGTTCAATCCCTGGTACCAAAAAAAAAAAAGAAAGAAGAAAGAAAGAAAAAAGAAAAAAAATTGGTGCCTGCTAGTGAACCTTCTTGGGGCTGTATTACAGCAGAGTGGGGATAAGGTGACATGGACAATTGAGGCCAGGCTCAGCAACTCAGCAAGGCTCTGTCTCAAAATTAAAAACGACTGGGCATGTAACTCAGTGGTAAAGCGCCCCTGGTATCAATCCCCAGCACATAAAATTGAAATAAAATAAGTATGTTAAATGGTGAAAGGAGTTCTATGGAGACAAATTAATTATTTAGTTTATTTATTTATTTATTTATTTATTTGTAGTCCTGGGGATTGAACCCAGGTCCTTGTTCTTCGTAGGTACAGTCACTGAACTATGTCTACCCAACTGCAGAATGATTTGTGAAAACACAGATTATGAATGCATGAGGCCCTGAGTTCAATCCCAGCACCACAAACCAAAACAAAATCAAATCACAAATTACTGGCACCACAAATTACACCAGATGTTTCCAACTCAGTAAATTGACAGTGTGACTAATGAATTCACATTTCCAAGTTTCTATATGATGATGTTGATGTTGGTTGGGAAACAAATTGAAAGTCACTATGATGGGGGCTGGGGATGAGGCTCAAGTGGTAGCGTGCTTGCCTGACATGTGTGAGGCACTGGATTCGATCCTCAGCACCACATAAAAATAAAATAAAGATATTGTGTCCACCTAAAAAACTGAAAATAAATAAATAAATATTAAAAAAAAAAAAAAGAAAGTCACTATGATGGAAAGTTGCTGAAAGGGAATGATGTTTAATCTTAAAGATTAAATGGGCCACACTGACAGAGCAAATACCTGTAAGAAGTGAGGAAGTTGCTTATATGATATTTGAAGGAAGAACAGCCCATACAGAAAGCCCCAAGATTGGACCATACCGGGTTGTTTAAAGGGACAGCAATGAGACCAATGTAGCTAGATTGAGTTAGTTTGAAGAAGAGTGGTTAAAACCAAAGAGGTAGATGGCATTTGCTTTGCATAAGATTTTGTGGGTGTCTGGAAGTATTCATCTTAGAGGTGGTATTTAAAACCTTAAGATTGTCAAAGGAAGAACAAAAAACGGTTGCATGTTTCAAGGCCCAGGATGGTCATCAACTAAAACACACTGAAAACTGGGAAGCCTGGAAAACTGTAGGAAACATTTTGAATCAATAGATATCACAAAGGAATAACTGATGGAAAAAAGTCAAAGATGATACCAAGTTTTATAACCTAAAAAAAAAAAAAAGAAAAACAGAAAAGTTTCTAGGGAGAGGTTTTGGCATTTATGAAAAAAAAATGATCAGTAGTTCTCTGTTTTATCTTGTTGCCCAATGAACATGATTAGTGCTACAAAAATTTAAGGATTTTACCTGGATATGGTGGTGGTAACCACTATAATACCAGTAACTTGGGAGACTGAGAGGAGGATCCAAGTATAAGATCAGCCTCAGCAACTTAGCAAGACTCTGTCTCAAAAAATAAAAAGAACTAGAGTTGTAGCTCAGTGGTAAAGCACCCTGGGATCAATCCCCAATACAAAAAAAAAAAAAAAGAAAGAAAGAAAAAGTGAAGTATAAACATTTACATTAACATTTTAGCCAATATTTTATTTTTTTACTTGCAAAGAGTTTTTTTTTTTTTTTTTTGAGTTGAGGTCAATCTTCCTTTGTTACCCAGATTGCCTCCAACTTCTGGGCTCAAGTGATTCTCCTACTCAGCTTTCTGAGAACTGGGATTACAGGAACACAATACCATGCCTTACACGAAAGTATATTTTAATATGTCTTGGCAATAAATAAAAAAGACAATAGTAAAAATCATTATATATTTGTAAGAAATATACAGACCTTTTGTTTCAGAAAACGCATATTGCTTTAAAAAAAACATTTATTTTTTAGTTGTAGGTGGACACAATACCTTTATTTTATTTTTATGTGGTTCTGAGGATCGAACCCACTGCTTCACAAATGCTAGGCAAGCGCTCGTCCTCTGAGCCACAACCCCAGCCCCTGCGTATTGCTTCTTTAAAAAATTTCTTGGTAGTTGTGTATGGACAGCATGCCTTTATTTTATTTATTCTTATGCCATGCTAAAGATCAAACCCAGTGCCTCACACATGCTAGGCAAGCACTCTGTCACTGAGCTACAACCCTAGCCCTGCATATTGCTTTTAATCACATAATCAAACTGAAAATAAAACAGTAGGATTACTTTTAACTATAGTAGGAAACACCCCAAATCTTTCCGGTATGAGGAAGTTGCCTGACTTGAAAGAACTGGGTAAGAGCAGTCACTGCAAAATGTGGTAGAGGGAACAAGTTATTTTGTAGTTTACTGCTTCATTGTAGCTGTCTTGCTGACTAAGGAGCACAGTAACTACCAGTATGAACAAAAGAGCCTACTATGCAAGTGAGATCTTATAAGAATATGTTCCAGAGTAGAGGGGAGTCAGAGTATCACCTAATATTCCCAACCATTACAGTCTGAACTAGTTGTTTGATTAGGCATTGCAAGAAGATACAAACTGGTATTTCTTTCTTAGAAGGGTACAATTGATAAAATCACTAAATGATAACCGGTACCTGCTATGTAAGGCCAGTAGGAAAGTCACAACAAATACCACGTCTTTTTTTCCCAAAAGCCCCTTACACAATTAAAAAACTATATAAAAATAAATTTCCTTGCCTACTGAGAAATACTTTTATATTAGTCTATTTCTTGTTGCTAATAACACAATACCACAGGATGGGTAATTTGTATTTTTAGAAAGGTTTATTTTAACTCATGATTCTGGTACAGGACCACAGGGTTGCATCTGATGATGGTGTTTTACTGTTAAGAGTCCCACAGTAGTACAGGGTATCATACAGTGAGAGACAGGAAGAATACCTGTGTATCCTCTGGTATCATACTCTATCCTATTGTTATAGGGCTAGGGCTTTCTGGGAAACTGAGATAGTATGAAGACACACACACACCCCTTTCAAACCCCAATTCTTGTGATCAAGTCAGAAAGATTTCAGACATGTCACTCAGAGTGACAGACTTGAGTTTATTAGAACAGATAGGAAAGGAGGAAAAGGGACACTTTCAAGGGAGAAAGTGGGTCCTTCGAGAGAGGGAGGTTTAACACGCCTCTCCTGCTCTCCAGTTATATTGGTAGTCCCAGGGAAGTTTCCAGAGTCCTGCCCACGTCCACCTCTTGACTTTGATAGCAGAATGATATCAGACTGCCATGACAATTCTAGGTCACTTTGTCACATGCCAAAAAGTTTGAATTGGAACCTGTTCTTAATAGATTTTATGGTGAGGGTAAATTATCCTTATCTCCCTGAGTTCTGGGATCTGGTCTTGGAAGGTCACAGAAGTCCCCACCTTCAGGGTAACTTTTGTTCTTCTTACCAGCATTTTGGGCCTGCATTTCTCCTGCAGATAACAGGTAGTTTGCTGAGGAATGTAACATATTCTGAACCAGGCAGGGCTGCCAGTTAATTGCTTCTTAGAAAAGAAAGCATAGGGCTGGGATGTAGCTCAGTGGCAAAGTGTCTGCCTTGCATTCGCAAAGCCCTGGGTTCCAAAGCATGTGGGGGCCAGCACAATAGGTCTGTTTTGTAAAATTGTTCCCTTTACTTCATGTTCCCACCACTCATCTTTGTGTGTCCCTTATAAAGCCACAGTATTCAATCATGGGAGCTCTACCCTGATGACTTTAATACTAATAACTATTCCAAAAGGCCTCACCTCTGGACACCATACTTGGATTAAGTGTCTATCATGTGGGAGAGGTCTCTCTGTGTTGTATAGCCTGACCTTGAATTCCTGAATTACCTACCTTAACCTCTGGAATACCTGGGATAAAAGTTTCATTGTTTTTTCAGTGTTAAGGATTGATCCCAGGGCCTTGCACATGCTAGGCAGGTGCCCTGCCATGGAACCATTCTGCCAGCCCTTACTTTCTTAATTCCTCATAAGGGGGATTAAATTTCAACACAGGAACCTTCAGCGGACACATATTTAAGCCATACCCAAACCATAGCACACTTCAGTTCATACATGGATCCAATAGACTTCAAAATGGAAAAAGAAAATTTTTACAAGTGTAGCAAAAAAAGACTGCTGTGAACTAGAGCTTTAAAATTACTTATACAATTATTTCACCTCAATCCCACCCCCCCCCTTCCCAGTACTGGGGATTGAACCCAGGAATGCTCTGCCACTGTACTACTGCCGGGTTTCTGTTCTCACGACTAAAAGGCTCAGGGGTCACTCTAGTTAAACTGGGCTAACTGGGCTGCACGAAATAACCACACAAGAGACACAAATACCTTTTTCTTTGGGGTTGCTGTGACGGCTCCTCTGACCTTAAGGGTCTGCAGAAAAGGAGAGAGAGAGCACGCGCTGACCCCTTTTATTGAGGAGAGCTATTCAAATGAGGCAAGGGGTCAGGTTTCAGGGGGCTGAGTCTATTTTCATGATGTCCACTGTCAGCAGGTTGACTGACACCTGGGTAGGCCACACCCAAGGGCACAGTAAGAGGAGGGGACACACACAAGGCACTTCCATGGAAGATTCTATCCTAAACAGGGCAAGGAGTTATATTACAAAGGAACAGGTGAGCATAGCTTCACCCATGGGCTGTAGCAAGACACACCCATTTCTGTGACTGAGCGCCTCAGCACCCAGCTGGGGAGTGTAACTTAGTCACCCATAAGGTTGGCCTCCCACATACTACTACATGCCAGCCCCTTTTTATTTTTTTTATTTTGAGGCAGGGTCTTGCTAAGTAGCCTGGGGCTGGGGGGAGGGTTGAACTTGTAATCCTCCTGCTTCAGCCATCTGAGTCACTGGAATTACAGGTGTGTGCCAATGCACCTAGCTAAATTATCACTCTTATAACATTCCTTTCATGCTGTGAATTTTCTGGTGCATTATATACATCAATTACTTTGCATCAAGCTTTTCCATATTACTTGCATTTTTATAATATTCTCTTCAGTGGGAATTTTTAAATAATTTAAATGTATTTGTGAAATTAAAAACTCTCCTGTATTTTTCAGATTTGTAGGATTTCTATGCAATCTACATTATCATGTCTTTAGCTGTAATTTTTATAATTTTGAATACAAACATCTTAGTCTTTTAAAAGTAATCATAGCTGGACATGGTAGCACTTTCCTTGTATCTTAGCTGTTTGGGAGGCTAAGGCAGGAAGATTGCAAGTTCAAAACCAGCCTCAGCAATTTAGCGAGGCCCTAGGTAATTTAGTGAGACCCTGTCTCAAAAATTAAAAAGGACTGGGGATGTGACAGAGTGGTTAAGTGCTCCTGGGTTGTTAAATCCCTGGTACCAAATGAACAAAAAAGAACTAAAAGTATTTATAACTGTTGTTTTTTAAAATAGGAAAATGGACGTTGTATTACTAAACTGGAAAACATGGGGTTTCGAGTAGGACAAGGATTGATAGAAAGGTGAGCAGTATGGATTTGAAAATTTTCTTTCAGGTAGGTTATGAACAATGATAGTCCATTCAAAAGATTGCATAAAATTTGAAATATTTTCATTTTTCTCTGTTCCTTAATTCACAGTTGAAATTTTCTTTTTTAAGGAGCTGAGGGTGTAGCTCAGTGGTAGAACATGTGTAGCTCAGTGGTAGAAAATGCACAAGTCATTGGATTCAATCCCCAGCACCCCCCTAAGAAAAAAAAAATCATTTGAAGATCTAGTGCAAGATTAACTTGGTTATTCAAATTTTAAGTCCTAATAATTCAAGAAACATTTTACATCTAAATATTTTTCCTGAAAATATTGGTATTTTGAAATAACTGCTTAAAATCTCATTGCTTTTTTTTGGGGGGGGGGGTACCAGTGATTGAACTCATGGGCATTTACTGAGCCACATCCCCAGCACTATTTTGTATTTTATTTAGAGATAGGGTCTCACTGAGTTGCTTAGCGCCTCGTATTCCTGTCTCAACCTCCCAAGCTGCTGGGATTACAGGTGTGTGCCACCACTCCTGGCATCACTGCATTTTTTACTTAAGGCCTAGTAGGGTTTTTTTTAAAAAAAAAAAAAACCTGAATGAAATTTTGTTTAAAGTGTAGGAAATGCCTTAAGTCTTTGTTTATACATATAATAATCTTCTAATTTATAGATAGGTTTTTTTTTTCTTTTTCTTTTTCTTTCTTTTTTTTTTTTTTTTTTTAGTTTTAATAAATAGCAGCATAGTTATTTTTTTTTCTTTCCTTTTCCTTTTTTTAAACAATACTAGGGATTAAACCCAGTGTTGCTCTACTAGTAAGTTATATACTACAACCTTTTTATTTGTTTATTTTGAGACAGGATCTTACTAAGTTTTCTGCTTTGGCCTTGAACTTGTTATCCTTCTGCTTTAGCCTGGGATTAACAGGCATGTGCCAACATTCATTCCCTGCAGAATAGTTGAACTCTGATTATATTTTATGTACAATGCTATTATGAAGCTCAGTGGGTTTTTTTTTTGTTGTTGTTGTTGTTTGTTCTAGACTGATTGTACTTAATGTTGGCTCTACTGTTAGACAAATAACTAATGTATTGATAGACCCCATAACATATGTGAATATGTTGAAATCTATTTTGCTTGATGTTTAACACTTTATGACTTTCAATAATGTTCAGTGCTATTATGGCATTTGGAAATTAGTTCATAGTTTGCCCCTCTTGGGAAGAGTGAGAAAAATATGTTTGGATCCCTTAACTTTCTTTGGAAGAAAAGTATTGTATTACTTCTAGTTGATCTTTTTAGGTTTACAAAAGATACTGCAAGGTTCAAGGATGAGTTAGACATCATGAAGTTCATTTGTAAAGATTTTTGGACTACAGTATTCAAGAAACAAATCGACAATCTAAGGACAAATCATCAGGTATTCAGATAAACTAAGGGCTTTTTAAAAAAATTCTTTAATGTAAATGCCTTTGTTTATCAGTTTTATTTTAAAAAATAATTTCTTAACTTTTGGAATGTTTCTCTGATGTTATTTAGGTCGTTAGTTTTTTTTTTTTCCCTCTGGTAGGATAAAGTGAATAAAGATAAAGTGGCAATTATCAGTAAACTATAGGTATCCTCCCAATTACATAAGTTATGTTAAATTTTAAAATACAGCGTTCGTCAGAATGATACTGGTTTTAGGATTTGTTTTCTTAGTTATTATTAGTAAGTAATAATATTTAAGTAATTAGTAAGTAATAATATTTCACATTTATGTGAAATAATTTCCATTGTCTGATTTTTGGAGTACGTATATCTTAAGTAACTCTTGTATTGTTCATTACTGCTGTTCTTTTTTCTTTTTTGAAAGATTTTGTTACTGTACAATTAGGAGAGTACATAGAAAACTTTAAATGTATTGATTTTGGAGGCTGGGGATGTAGCTCCATGGTAGAGTACTTGCCTAGCATGCATGAGGCCCTGGGTTTGATCCCTAGTACTTCAAAACAAAAACAAAAAACCCCCAGATGACAACAACAAAACAGATTGATTTTATTTTACAAACTTCAAAGGCATATTTAGAGTGGATTTAGCATTTCAATGAAGTATAAAAAATGAAAACAGCTTATTTAATACTACTAGTAGAATTCATTTTTTTTCACAGTACCAAACTTAGTCTGGAATTGAAATGCCAACAAGAAGTGACTCCATTTATCAACTTTCTAAATGTGCTTTACTTAGCATATAATAATTTTGTATGGTTGAGTGCTAGTGATTACATAAGACTTAAGTTCTTTTTTACCTTTCGTGTAGGGACCAGAGCCAGGGCCTCACCTGTGATAATCAAGTGCTATACCACCGAGTCACATTCCCAGCCCAACTCTGAATTATTAGGGACTGTGTCTTATACCTCTTTGTATTTTCAGTGTATTGATATATTTAGTAAATATTAGTGCTACAACTGCTGAACTCAACCCCTTAAGCTTAAACATTGTGAAATTCTTTCATTTGAAGAAAATTTGACCAATGAAAAGGGGAATTTTAATAACAAAATATTCTTAAAGTTGTTATAGGAATAAGATAGGTTTTAAGGACTACAGACTAAATTGACTTTGAATCTTTTTTTGTATTTTTGAAATAGGGCATCTATGTACTTCAGGACAACAAATTTCGTCTGCTTACTCAGATGTCTGCAGGAAAACAGTACTTAGAGCATGCATCTAAGGTATTTAATGCAATAGAAGATTTGGACTTTCTACTAAAAAAAAGTAGATTTACTGTAAAAATTACAAATTACAGTGCCAATCACAACAAACTCTTTAATTTAAAATAGTAGTTTTAAAGTTGTACTTGGTATTTTTTGTTACTGGGGATTGAACCCAGGACGGGGTGGAAGGGTTCTACCACTGATTTACATCCCCAGGTATTTTAATTTTGAGACAAGGTCTTGCTAAGTTGCTTAGGGCTTCACTAAGGTGCTGAGACTGGCTTCGAGCTTGCTTTAGCCTTCTGAATTGCTGGGAATAAAGGGTGTGCCACTGTACCTGGCAAGTTGTCCTTTTTTTCTAAAGCCACTTTTTATGAAATAGGAGATATTCATCATGAATAACTTACATGTACTTGTAGCTGCAGCTAAATAAGCCTATAATGACCAATTAAAGAAACATTACTACTAAATGCCAGTGAATATAGATATATGATATTCTTTGAAAAAGTGTAGGCACATCAATACAGATAATTCAAACTTATAAAAACAGACATTGGCTGTGTAGAATTATTCACCTGAGAGTGCATTTATGATCTCCTCTAGTAGATTAAAATCTATAATAGGCCTGGGGTTGGGGTTGTGGCTCAGTGGTAGAGTGCTTGCCTAGCATGTGTGAGGCAATGGGTTCGATCCTCAGCACCACATTTAAAAAAAGAAAGAAAATAAAGTTATTAATAAAACATAATAAACATTTGTTTCTTGGAGTGCATGTTTTGTGTTAAATATATCTGTGTTTCTGGGTTTTGTGTAGATTTTGTTTTTTTAATCTTATGTAGAAATCAATCAATAAATAGTTGTGTTAATGAAAGCTAATGAATATTATTAGTATAAGCGTTCCTTTGAAGTGATAAAAATATCTAGATAAGCATAGACTGCTATTTACCTGCAAAAAACTTTTCTATACCTATATTATTGAACAGAAAGGAAGTATAGTTATAGTGGAAATATCATAGTCTTGGGATTGAATAAATTTAGATTTTAAGCTAAGCTACACGATTTACAGATTTGTAACATTGAATAAGTGACGTAACTCTTCAGGATCTTAGTTTCCTCATTAATAAATCGAGTATAATCATAGCTATAAGATTATTTTGATAGTTAAATGTATTTAAAGTATGTAACATGAGACTGAGTGTGGTGACACATAACTGTAGTCTCAACTACTTGGGAGGCTGAGGCAGGAAGATCACTTGAGCTTAGGAGTTGAGTACCAGCCTAGGTAACATAGCAAGACTTTATCTCAGGGGGAAAAATGTATTTATTATGGTGCTTTGCACATGATATACTTAGTAAATAATAGTTATTATTATAGCTGTGAGATGTTAACAGAGTAGGCCAAGAAATAGATGTGATTCTTATTTTTTGTAATTTAGTTTCATTGCTTATTTTCTGTATTTTTGGGATTGCTAGATTCTCATTACATTTTTGTGGTAAATATTTGTTCTCATTTTTTATTAATCTCATTTTAATATCTCTGGTTCTCACTTAACTTTTGGGAATCTTAATTTCTTTAATTGTAAAAAGAGAAAATTGAATCAGTTCAGTAATTTTTTTTGGTGGTGGTGGTGGTGGTGGTGATTGAACCCCAGGACCTTACACATACTAGGTAATATTCTACTACTGAGTACATCCCCCGACTTCTTTATTTTTTAAGACAGGATCTCACTAACTTCCCAGGCTGGCCTCAAACTTGTGATTCTCCTTTAGACTCCTGAATAGCTGTGTAGTTCAGTGATTTTTTAAATATTTGAGTTTATGGACTTTTTTTGGGTGGTACTGGGGATTCCACCCAGAGGTTTGCACATGCTAGGCAAGAGCTCTCCCAGTGAGCTGCATCACCATTCTTTTAAAACAATTTTTATTTTGAGGCAGAGTCCCTTTAAATTCCCAAGACCTACTTTGACAGGCGGGGATACTCACCACTATACTAACGAGGACGGCTCAAGACCTACTTTGAACTAGCAATCTTCTTGTTCTAGCCTCATGAGTTGCTGGCATTAACAGCACGTTCCACAACCACATCAGACATGTGTCTTTTTTTGGAAATGCTGGGGATGAATCCAGAGCCTGGCACATACTAGGCAAGCACTGGTTATGGACATTTTTATATTGGATCACTTTTTCCCAATAAATATATATGTATGAATGATTTTAATTTTCCTGGTCCTCATAGATTCCCAGGTTAAGAACTCTAGGGATAAACAATCTTTCTTTGTGTATATGTGTCCTATAACACTGAACCTATACCCAGCCCTTTTATTTTTATTTGGGACAGAGTTTTGCTAAGTTGCTGAGGCTGACCTTGAACTTGAAATTTTCCTGCATCAGCCTCCTGAGTTGCTGGGATTATAAGCATGTGCCACTACCAATGAGAAACAATCTACGGTCTCCTCCAGTTCAGAATTTGTTGACTTACGTGTAATTACTTATTAGTAACTATTTGTGTGCATTAATTATAAAATTTTATATTATTAGTAGATAGTATTGAATATCATGTAGTACAAAAAAAATGTAGATAATAAAAATATTCCTTAGATTATTAGTTTTTCAGTCTTCATTCCTGTCATGTCTTTCCCTTCTGTAGACCAGCTCCATTCCTTTTTTGGGGGTGAGGTGGGAGCGTATCAGGGATTGAACTCTGGGACATTCAACCACTGATCCACATCCCCAGCCCTATTTTGTATTTTATTTAGAGACAGGGTCTCTCTGATTTGCTTACTACCTCGCTAAGGTGGAGGCTGGCTTTGAACTTGTGATCCTCCAGTCTCAGCCTCCCATGTCGCTGTGATTACAAGAGTGTGCCACCATACCTGGCTCTTTTTTTGTTTGTTTCTTTATAACAGGGTTTCTTAACATTTGCATTATTGATATTTTGAAGATGATAATTTTTATCTCCACAGGCTATAAATGTATTCCTTTTTTGGTACTAGGAATTGAACCCATGGGTGCATAACCACTGAGCCACATTCCCAGCCCATTTTATTTTTTATTTTGAGACTGGGTCTTGCTAAGTTGCTGAGGCTAGCTTTAACTCATGATCTATCTGTCTTCGTTTCTTGAGCCACTGGGATTACAGGCATGCACCCCTGTGCCTGGTCCAGCCCTTTTTAATATTTGATATTGAGACAAAGTCTTGCTAAATTATAGAAGCTGGCCTCAACTTTAAATCTTCTTCCTTAACCTTCTGAGTTGCTGGGATTACAGGCATGTGCCATGGTGCCCGGCAGCTATAAATCTTGAATAAGTTCATATTATTGTCTATAGATCATAGAAAACAACTCTGATTGAATGAAATATTGTTAGTTTATTTACAGAGTGATTAGGAGGGCTCAGAAAACAGGCAAGAAACCGATTAAAGCAGCCAGAACATGACCCAAATTATTATTACTGGGAGGCCCTACTTAGAATTCTGTGGGCAGCATGGACAGTAGACAGAAACAACATTTGCCGTCCCCAGAAGAAAATGTAACTTGGTTTCTATCATTTTTATGTTATTGTAGATTCGGGTCCTGAACTGGAACACCTAATTAGCCAAGCTTAAGTCACATGTCCATACATTTTTAGTTGCCAGGGAGCTAGGACATCTTATAATAATCAGATTTTTTTAGTAACTTAAACAGTTTTTCCAAAACTTTTGGGGTTGTTTGTATTTATTTATTTTTTTTAGTTGCCAATGGATTTATTTATTTGTTTGTTTGTTTATTTATATATATGTGGTACTGAGGAGCAAACTCAGGGCTTCACACATGCCAGGCAAGTGCTCTGCCACTGAGCCATAACCCCAGTCCCTTGTTTTTTGATGCAGGATTTTGCTATGTTGCTCAGAATGGCTTAAAATTCCTGTGCTCAAGTGATCTTTCCACCTTAGTGTCCTCAGTAGTTTGGACTACAGGCATGCACCACCCTGCCTGGCTATTCACAACATTCTTATTTTTAAACATCAATGATTTATTGGTAGCATGACTTAATTAATGGCATATTTTAGTAGCTTTAGTATCAATAAATTCTCATTTATTTTTCCAATTAGTATCTAGCATTTACCTGTGGCTTAATCAGAGGTGGCTTATCAAACTTGGGGATAAAAAGTATTGTAACAGCTGAAGTGTCTTCAATGCCTGCCTGTAAGTTGAATTTACATTTCCTTTTAAAAAAATAATATATACATATAACATACATTTCCTTTAAAAAATAATATATATATATAAAATATGTATATTTATTTATTTTAGTTGCCAGTGGACCTTTATTTTATTTATTTATACGCAGTGCTAAGAATTCAAACCAAATTCCTCACGAATGCTAGGCAATTACTCTGCCACTGAGCTACAACCGCCAGCCCCTGAATTTACATTTCTTATAAATGTTTGCAGGTCTTCCCCCATCCCGGATTTTTTTTTTTTTTTGTCTTTTAGAGGGCTGGGCAACCTACCCAGGGCCTTACACATGCTAGGCAAGTGCTATATCACTCAAGCCTCTGTGGTGTTTTTATTTTTAAATTTTTTGGTACTGAGGCACTTTACCACTGAGCTACATCACCAGCCCTTTTTAATTTTTATTTTGAGACAGGGCCTTCTTAAATTGCTGAAGCTGGTCTAAAATTTGTGTTCCTCCTGCCTCAACCTCCCAAGTCTCTGGGATTACAGCCATGTGCCACCATGCTTAGCTGTAGTGTTTATTTAAGGAGGCGTTTTCCCAATAGCATTGAAAGTATCTTTTAAATAATTGTTTAGAATATGTCTATTATATAAAGCTAAATTAACTAGTCTTTATTTTTTGTGGTGCTAGGGATTGAACGCAGGGCCTTGTGCAAGTAAGGCAAACACTCTACCAACTGAGCCCTCAGTCTTATTGTTAAACTCCTTCTTAAAGATCTTATAACCGGGCTGGGGAATGTGGCTCAAGCGGTAGCGCGCTCACCTGGCATGCATGCGGCCCGGGTTCGATCCTCAACACCACATACAAACAAAGATGTTGTGTCCGCCGAAAACTAAAAAATAAATATTAAAAAGTTTCTCTCTTTAAAAAAAAAAAAAAAGACTATATATATAAAAAAAAAAAGATCTTATAACCACAGCTGCCAGCCAAGAATAAAATTTACTTGAGCTTTACTATATTACCTATTCCCAGTGATAATTAGCACTGAAATACTGGAAGGTAGGAAACACAAAAAGAAACAAAAGTACCCATTCCTGAACCAGATAATCATCCAATAAAAATGTTTTGAATATTGTGAGGAATGTGAAAAGTTTTTTGACACAGCAAGTTTCTTGACTGAAACTGCTTCCTTAGTAGAACAGAAAATTTTATGTGCAGGCTTGTTTTCCTTGTACTTCAAATCAAAAATTATTTTTATGTTTTCTTTTTTTAGGCAAATTTCAGGTGATGATACAGAAGCTATAGAACATACTGAAATGCAAAGCTTCCACAGTGTAAAGAGATAAATTATTCATGTATAAAGTATTTCAAATAATATGATTTAAATACATTGTTGGATGTTTGTATAGGAGAGTCTGTTTCATCTGTTTAACATAGACTGAGACAAGGGGTCATTCTGTTAGGATATAAACTTCTTATTGAAACTATTCAAAATGAAAACCTAATTTCAAATAACTGGACACCAACATATAGGACTCTTTAAACATTTTTGTTTAGAGATATGTATTTAACCACAGATGGAGAAGCAAAAGCAAGGGTTTGTTAAATTAGCATGAAGAAAAGTGTGCACCAGTCAGAATATTTGTGTAAGAATGACAAAACTTTGATAATGTATGGATTTGTTTTTTATTATTTCTATACAGCAAACAGTATAGTAAATTAAGCTTAATTTTTATTTTATTGCTTATAACTTATTTCTATTGAGAATTTTTATGCATGATTTCATGTATACATTGTGTGTGTGTATATATTTATTTAAATACATATGACTATCTAAATGGCTTGAAAGCTTAATTTCACTAGATTTTAGTCCTTCATAGCTCCATTAATGTAGTCAAAGTGAAATATAGATTAGTTTAAATGAATTTGGTGACTCCAAAGCCAAGGAATATTAGGCATGTTGTGGGAAATTATATACTTATTCTTGGTAAAGCCTGCCTTTCAACTTTTTTCACCATGCACCCAATTCCTGTTGAAAGTTCTAACATCTTTATCCCCTTATTTACTTTGCTGAAAGGGCAGATGAGTAAATAATTTTAATTATACCAACATTCATTGACCACATCTTCTCTGTGAGTTGGGGTCATTTCTTACCTAGCATCTCTTAGCATCTCTTCCGATTACTTCATCTTACTTAGATTACCTGGCTTAATCAGATACCTCTTAAGCTTTTGTTAGAACTCTAAATGTTGGGGTATCTGCACTTTGATTTTTAAAACTGTACTTTGTTTCCCATTTCATTATTATTACTCTTGTGCATATATCTGATAGGGAACTCTGCCGGAGAGTCAGTGACTTGCCAAACAAAATGTTTCACTGTGTGAAACTGGCAAGTTAAAGAAGTATGAATCCTTATAATCAAATGGTTGAAAAATTTATATTAAAAGAATGAAATAGAAGAGAAAATTCAGTTAAGTTAGAGGTATACCATTTTTCTTTCAGAGAAAGGAGGTACAGTATTATAAAGAAAAAAGAAAAAGGATCCCCCTCCCCCGTTTCCTTTCTGCTTCTCAGTGAAGGTATGGGTTGAATGAAGGCTTTTGGGGTTTATGTGCAACAGCCTTTTGCTGACCATGAAATGACAAGAATGAAGATGAAAGCCATCGCACTGAGGAGGATGCAGATAGAACGTACCTGAATTGTTCTTTCTTAATTCTGGAACTATTTTACCTATTAATTTTTTAATCAGGTGAGATATCAGATTCCTTATGACATTCAATCCACTTTTCGTTGTGTATTTGATTACTTATAGCCCAAAAGAAACCTCTCAGTAGAAACAAGGAAGAGTTAGATTATTCAAGAAATAGTATAGGACAAATAAGCTTTTTTGCCGGGGGTTAAGACTGACGTGTTGTTAAGACAGTAAAATCCTACAGTGCTAAAGAAAATATGCATTTACTCTTATGATCTTGTGGTGAAGGCCTTTCAAAAACACAAATGTAGAAAATCATAAAGGAAAATGGCAAACTAAAACTAACATCTCTTCGACAAACATTGGGAAAATTGAATGTCCACATGCAAAAGAATGAAATTGGGTCATTGTCTTAACATTATACATAAATATCAATTTAAAGTGGATTGAGAACATATACATAAAATCTGAAAATTTCTGGAAGAAAACAGGGGGAAAGCTATATAACATTTGTTTTGGCAATAATTTATTGCATGTCACACCCTCAGCAAGATAAAAGCAGGATGACAAATGGGATTTTTGTCAAACTAAAAAGCTGTACAGCAAAGAAAGCAACAGAGTGAAAAGCAACTTAGGAAAAAATGTATTTGGAAATCATAAATCTAATAAGGGATAACACGCAGAATACATTAGAAATTCTTTTTTTTTTTTTTTAAGAGAGAGAGAATTTTAATATTTATTTTTTAGTATTTGGCGGACACAACATCTTTGTTTGTATGTGGTGCTGAGGATCCAACCCGGGCCCCACATATGCCAGGCGAGTGCGCTACCGCTTGAGCCACATCCCCAGTCCATTAGAAATTCTTGTACCTCAGTAATAGAAAACAACTGGATTGAGAAATAGGCAAAGAACTGAGAAAACAGTTGTTCAAAGAAGACATACAAATGACCAGCAGGTATATGCATAAAATGTTCAACATAATTAGTTTGGGAAATGCAAATCAAAACCATAATGAGATACCACCTCAAGCTCTTAGAATGGTGCACATACACACACACACAGTGAGTTGCAGTGGGGTGCACCTGTAATTCCAGATACTTGAGAGGCTGTGGCAATTATCTTTTGTTTGAGCCCAGCCTGAGTGACAAGAGTCCTTTCTTTTAAAAAAAAAAAAAAGTGTAGAGAAATTAGAACCCCTGTGCACTGTTAGTGACTGTAAATTGGTACAGCAGCTATGGAAAACAGCATAAAGGCTCCTAAATTTTTTTTTTGAAGCACAACTACCATGTAACCCAGAAATCCACTTGTATGCATGGTCTGTTTCAGTTTCTCTCTACCTACTGACAAAAAGGTATTCGATGTTGATCCAAACACCAAAACTATTTCCCCACCTTGAGCCAACACCCATTTAACAACTCCTTTTTGCAGACATGCTAGGTAGAACATTTTACTGTCCCCTTTAGTAATACAAAGCAGCCTCTTCTGTACAAAGTTTCCTTAGTAAATGCATTGGACTGACTGATCACTCTGTTAAGAATTGAAATCACTCCCATGTCACTGCAACATATTTTTTGTTTTGTTTTGGGTATTGGGTATTGAACCCGGGGTGCTTTGAGTCACATCCCCAGCCCTTTTTTTAATAAAACATTTTATTTAGAGACAGAGTCTTGCTGAGTTGCTCAGAGCCTCGCTAAATTGCTGAGGCTGGTTTTGAACTCACCATCCTCCTGTATCAGCCTACCCAGCTGCTGGGATTATAGGCATGTGCCACCATGCCCACTTGCAACATTATTGTTAATAGCCAAAAGGTGAAAACAATCTAAGCATCTAGGGATGCAAGGATAAAAAAAAATATGGCATATACATACAGTGGAATATGAGCCTTAAAAAGGAAGAAAATCTTGTCATGCTTCAACATGGATGATCCTTGAATACATCATGTTAAATGAAATAAGCCAGTCACAGAAGGACAAATACTACATGATTTTGCTTATATGTCTTAAGTATTCAATTCATAGAAACAAGTGTAATGATGGTTGCCAGGACTGGGGTGAGGAATAAACGGGAGTTGTTAGAGGTAGGTATAGAGTTTTTGTCATGCAGGTTAAAGAAATTCAGAGATTGGCTGTACAATGTACATATAGTTAATACTGTGTTGTACACCTAAATGTGTTAGGACAGTGGATTTCTTAGCTTTTTTACCACATAGAAAAAATATGAAAGCAACATGAGAATGTTAAAAGGAAAATATTTATAGTGTGTACCATAGGTATAAGTGAATATTCACATTTAAAGAGCATTTATAAATTTAAAACACATCCTTTAACTCAGCAATTCCATTTCTACATTTTTTAAAAAATTGAGCCCAACTTTGGGGGAATTCTGGTCAAAGGAAAAGAAGGTTGAAAGGGAAAAAAAACTATATATGAAAATATTAATACTGAAAACAAATTTTATATCAGGTAATGAGAACATTTAAGTACTTATGGTGAATAAGTACTTGGACTATTAGGCTGCCATTTAAAAATGAGCTTTATAGCTGGGTGCTGCGGCTCACACCTGTCATCCCACATACTCAGGAGGCTGAGGCTGAGGCAAAGGATCACAAATCCTGAACAATTAATTTAGCAAGACCTCGTCTCAAAATAATAGTTTAAAAAAAAAAAAGGCTGAGGATGTGCCAGGCCCTGGGTTCAATCCCCAGTACTCTTCCTGCCTGTACCCTCCTCCCCCAAATAACTGACGACTAACAAAATATAGACAAAATTTCATCTACTTTTATTAAAACTAGAGGCACAGCTGTTGGTTGCCTGATCAGTGTTTATTACCTTTTCCACTTCCTTTTAGACTGAAAAGGCTTCCAACCTCATTTCCTCATCTTCAGGTGATCATGTTAGACATTTGTGACCAATAGGGGAACACAGATCTGATGGGAATTCTGGAAAGGTTTTTCTTTTGGTACTGGGGATTGAGCCCAACGGTGCTTTATCATTGACCTAACATTCCCAGCCCTTTTAAATTTTTTTTGTTGAGACAGATTCTTCCTAAATTTGCAAAGGCTGACTGGCCTCAAACTTGGGTTCCTCCTGCCTCAGTGTCCTGAGTTGCTAGGCCCAGGCCTTTTTGTTTTGAGAAAGGGAGGGTCTCACTAAGTTGCTGAGGCTGTGATCTTCCTGCGTCAGGAACCATGACAAATTGCTGCAACTATAAGTGTGTACCACTAGCCTTTTCTGTCTTGAATAGACACATTGTCTTCAACTGTAGCAGCAATCTTGTTGCCATGAAGGGAAGGCTAAAGAAATCTGAGACTTTGATATTGTTGAGTCACTGAACCAAGGCCAGTGGCCCGTTCCTCTATTTTCTTGTTCTGTGAGAAAAATAAATCCTATTTGTATAATCATTGCCACTTAAACCTTCTGTTACTCAAGTAGAAAGCATTCCTATTTGATGCAGAAAAAGATAAATTCATACAAACAAAAGACTTGTCAGAAAAATTAAAACACTCTACCTCTTAGTAGGGTATTTTTGAAAATGATTTGTTAGAAAAAGTTGTTTATGCAATAAAGCACTTAATAAACTTATTGAGCTTAAAGAGAAAACATTTGATTAATTCTGTTGCTGACTCACATTTGCCATTTAATCTAGATTATTTTCTAATTCTAAGGACATTATCTTGTTTTGTTCAAAAGTAAAACAAAGTTTTGGTAACCAAAACACATTTTCAACAAAATTTATATGAAGACATGTAACAATGAAATAGCACCGGGGACCTTTATAAAATTTCATCACACAGTTTCTATACAGGCATCTTCACCAATAACTGGCACTCAGTTTATTTTAAATCATGTGACTGCAGAAAACTATTCAAATTGTTCATCAAACACCAAATGGGATTTTCCAAAGATATTTCAGAAAATCAATTCAGTCTATATTCTGTTTATCAATTTGAGTTGCACAGGTTAAAATGAAGACCTTTCACACAGTTTTGAAGAAGTGATAACAGCCTGTACTTGAATTGGCATTGCACTTCATCAGACTTAGGCTGCCTTCAGCAGAAATAGCTTCTATCCCTCAGAAATCAGCTACATCAAGATGGCTCATCAGCTAAATCACGTTGGTCAAAATACCTGAAAAATAATGTAATGTATGCACAAGTATATTAATTATAGCACTACCTGTAGTAGCAAAAGACCATGAACAATCCAAATGTTAATTGATAAAGGGAAATAATAAACTACAGTACATATACATGACTGAAAACTGCATAAAAGGAACTAGAAAAATAGCTACACTGCTACAGAGTGATTTCTAGGATTAAGTGAAAAAAACATGGTACAGAATAGATTGTTCAGTATACTATAGTCTTGTAGGCACATAAGTTTACTTATATTTATTTATACTTTTAGAGAAAATGAAAGGATAAACGAAAAGTTAATAAAATTATTATTTATAGGAGAAAGGAGAACCAGGATAAAAGTAGATGCTAAAGTACTCCAAATGTATCTTGAATTCTGGAATGTTGTAAATATTTTATGTGATTAAAAACAGGTGCAGCTGGGCCAGTGGTGCATCCTTGTAATCCCAGTGGCTCTCGAAGCTGAGACAGGAGGATTGGGAATTCAAAGCTAACCTTAGCGATGGTGGGGCACTAAGCAACTCAGTGAAGCAGGAGTATTGCAACTTAGTATCAGCATCTTAGTGAGACCCTGTCTCAAAGTTATAAAAGGGAATGAGACTTCTTATCTGAAATTGTGAAGAAGAAGAAAATTCATGGTAGTTTTGGTGTGGTACCTCAAACTGGAAACGTTAAAGCAACAGTACATAGTAAGGGTTTAGTTAAGATGGAAAAGGTCTTAAATCACAGGGTTTGGTACTATGTATGATTTTAGGAATTCACTGTGGGTCTTAGAATTGGATGGACTACTAAATAACATTAAAGGAAAAATCAAAAACTCCTAAATTAGGACTGAAATATCAATTTGAACTCATGATTTTATTTTTCTAAGAAAGTGCATTATTTCCTAGCTCTGTTGACTGAAAAGGCCTAAAAACAATAACCAACTTAATAACCAGTCTGTAGCTTCCAAATTGTGGTTTCTAAATACCATTTCCTATTTTTTGATAAAGGAACCAACACTCCCCAGATAAAAAGACTGATTTTGGTTCTGGAGCCAGAAATATTCAAGATATTCAAATCATCGTGGCATACCAGAAAGGAAGGGCTATGTCAAAAGGAATTGGGGGCTGGGGCAGTGATACCCAACTATAATTCCAGCAGCTCAGGAGTCTGAAGCAGGATGATTACAAGTTTGAGGGTAGCCTCAGCAATTTAGGCCCCAAGCAACTTGGTGAGACCTTTGTCTTAAAAAGGGGATATAGCTCAGTGGTAAAGTGCCTCTGGGTTCAGTCCTTGGCATCTCCCCGACACACACACATAAAAAAAACAGAATTGAGGGGCTAGGGATATAGGTCAGTGGCAGAGCACTGGCCTAGCACAGCAAGGCCCTGGGTTCAATCCCTAGCACTTGTTTGTTGGGGGGTGGGAAATAGGAACTGACTTTATGACTTCAAGTGCTCCCACTGGTCAAAGATGGAACAGTTTGAGCATAAAAAACAATTATTACAATGAATTGAAATACAGCATATGGTAAAGTTCCTAAATTCAAAAACAACCTTTTTGGTGGAAATTGCTAGGTTACCTCTCTTTATTTCTTTTTGTTGTTGTTGTTATTAGAAATCATAGGGCTGGGGATGTGGCTCAAGCAGTAGCGCGCTCGCCTGGCATGCGTGCGGCCCGGGTTCGGTCCTCAGCACCACATACAAACAAAGATGTTGTGTCCGCCAAAAACTAAGAAATAAATATTAAAATTCTCTCTCTCAAAAAAAAAAAAAAAAAAATTAAAAAAAAAAAAAAGAAATCATACTCCAGGATAACCAAATTGTGAAGTCTTTTTTTTAACAGAAAAAAAGTTCTAACGAATACATGAATAGGGATTTTTTTTTTTTTGTACTGGGAATTGAATACAGGGATGCTCTACTACTGGCCAACATCTCCAGCCCTTTTAATTTTATATTTTGAGACAGGATCTTTCTAACTTTCCCAGGCTGGTCTCAAACTTGCTATATCCCCCTAACCCCACAGTCCAGTCTCCCAGGGATTACAGGCATACAACACCATGCCTAGAAGAAACTAAATGTTGAATATGTATTTATTGAGAATTAGAATTTGAGAAAAAAGTTTCCCAATAAATTTCAGGTGGAACTTTAATATAGAAATATATAGCAAATAAAAAATGCCTCAATCTAAAAGTGAATAGGATCTAGGCAAATAAAAACTACAAATGTAGGGACTGGAGATGTAGCTCAGTTAGTAGAGTGCTTGCCTGCATGCAAGCACAAGGCCCTGTCAATTCCCAGCAAAACACACACACACAAACACACACACGCGCGCACGTAACAAAATTAATAAACTTTTGTTTATTTGAACAAATAAACAAAAGTCAAGAATTACTTCACTATACCTGCTAACCAAGCAGATTAATAAATTCAAGGCAGGAACTCTTTCGTCATCTTTACTGTCCTAAAATAAAGAAAGCAAATATTAAAATATAGTCTATTTCTTTAATATTTTTGAAATTTCTGTTTAAGATGCAAAGCATGAAAATAACTTTTTTTTCCTTTCTTTTGGGTACTGGGGATTGAACTCAGACACTCAACCACTGAGCCACTTCCCCAGCCTTATTTTGTATAAATTTTAATTTAGAGATAGGGTCTCACTGAGTTGCTTAGCGCCTCGCTGTTACTGAGGCTGGCTTCGAACTTAGGATCCTTTTACCTCAGCCTCCCAAGCCACTGAGATTACAGGCGTGCACATCCATGCCTGGCCCTAATTTTCACTTTAGAAATACTTAAAGTCATATTTTAATATAAGATTGCTTGTTCAGAGGATTAATACTGTCCTGTAGGAGTTCCAGTTCTCATGGAACTAGATTAATCCTGTGACAGGGTGCTATTATAAAGTGAGTTTGGCACTTCCCCTCTTAAACTTGTGCCACTTGCTACTCTCACACATACTCCTATGTGATGACATCTGCCATGGTGTGATGTAGCCAAATGCCAACACCTAATCTTAGACTTTCAGCCTCTAAATCTGTGAGCTAAATAAGTCTCATTTCTTTATTAAAGTACTCGACCTCAGGTATTTTGTTACAGCAATACAAAATGGACTAAGACAAAGATGAAAGCCACAAGTGGCAAAACTCAAAGGCCTGAGTTATTGTCATCTTGGATATTATTCATCTACCTTCAGGCTTCCTTTTTCTGGGAAAAACATCTTTACTTTATTTAAGCTATTATTATTTGGAACTTTTTGTTCTCTGGGTTAATCTCATTCCAACTAATAAAATATTCCACATTTTTCCTATTTATTGGAAACCTCCTTTATTGCCTCCTTTATATATTGATAAATTATAAATTGAAACCTCCTTTATAAATTGATACTTTCAATATGAAATAACAAGTTATGACTTACCACTAAGAGTCTCACTTCAGAGCACCTTCTTGCAAGCTGCCGAATCAGTGAATGAGCCTCAGGTAATAAAGGTTTTTCAAGGCAAGCCAACAAGGCATAAAGCCATCTTCCCTAAAGAGAATTTTTAAAAGTACTAAATTGTTACTTTTTTTTTTTGTACCACGGATTTAACCCAGGGGTGCTTAACCCCTGAGCCATATCCCTAGTCCCTTTTATTTTTTATTTTGAGACAGGGTCTGGCTAAGTTACTGAGGGTGGCTTTGAACTTGTAATCCTCCTCAGCCTCCTGAGCTACGGGATTACAGGAGTGTGCCACCATGCCTGGTAAACCAGACAAATATTTAACCATAAATATAATTTATTTTTCTAAGTGTCCAATATTGTGCCTGGCTATTTGCTATAAATAATTCATAGAACATTTAACAGTATTATGTTTGGATATAGACAAAGGATCATCTGGAGAGCTAGGTGATGACTCTTATAGACACATGACACTGGTCACTTTAAAATATTCCCTGATGCTCAAAGTCTTCATTTCATTAATTCTTACCACAGAAGAAAACTAAAATACTATGTATATAAATCCTTGAAAAAATTAAGATCCACTTTTCTTTGTCTACTATAGACATATATACAAATCATTATATGCTTTCCCCTAGATCCATATGAAAGAACAATTCTGAAGACAAAGTAGTGTTTTGGTACTTCTACAAACATAAGCTGAATTTAGTCCCAATCCTTTTTAAAATAGGCTTTTTTTTTTCCAATTACAAAATTATAATCAATTATTAGAAACAACAACAACAACAACAACAAAAAAAACAGCATTCTTGTTATCTGGGTAAACTTTCTACTAATTTTTAAAACATCTTTTATCTTATGTATATGTACAACTTTTTTCAATAAAGTTCCATCATTATCATTTTGTAGTTGTCTTTATTTATAACACATAATAAACATACCCAATGTTGTTTAACAGTATTAATGAAAGAACATCATTGGATAGTCTCAACATGGCATGTAGAAATGTTTATTATTATACATTACAAATAAAATGATGGTGTTGAAGGGTATGTAGTTCATTAAACTTTCTGAGATACAATCATCATAAGAATGGTATAACCAAGAATGGTTATATCAATTATATTTATTACAAATATAGTTTAACCAGTAAAATTATGTATACTGCTAGCACTATACACAATTTAATTCTGAGCAATTTCACTTTTGGGAACCCTGAAAAATATTAGGGTTTATTTTTCTTTTAGAATAAAGTTTAAATGGTGATTTATGAACACACTAAGTTCTTCAAGAAGCCCTAAATCAACAATAAGACTTTTTCTTTAAATGAAAAAATTCACATCCTGGTTTGCTTAATGAGTCGTGGAATTCTCTTCTAGGTTAAAAAAAAATTAAAACTTGACTAATTTTCAGCGAAACATTTATTATATAAAGCTAGTATTTAGTATTCAAATATCTTCTACACTGAGAAGTTGCTCCAAACCTCTACTGATTGCCTGTAACATATTTATACTGAGAGGTTCCTTTTCTTAACATCACTGTGATTATGCTAGAAAACAAAATCAAAACCCCCAAATTAAAACAAAACACCAAACCAAAAAGCTGAAAACTTCTAATAGGTTCACACTTGGATGATAAAATAAGGCTATATTTCTCAAAAACATTAGACAGTAATTTTAAGAAGAGAAAAAGTAGAAGATCCCCTTTTTCCTTCTACTGGTTATGATACACAAATTTCTGGTGATATATTTTTAATTTAAACACTCATATCCTCAGGATTATTTGGACAGTACAGTTACTTGGATAAAGGAATTAGATACTTTGATTTCTAAGATACAATACTCAAAATTACATTTAAAGGGTTAATGTTAAAATTCAGAGTCAGCTGTCAGTGGTTTGAAAACAACTTAATGATTCCTCTGATGATATTATAAAGACTTTTTGGTACTATGCTTTCATTAAGTAACAGGAAAGGCCAAATTTACCATCTTTTTGAGTGGATAATATTTATTATTTACTTAGCACTACTAAAGACTAAACCCAGGACCTAAAACACACAAGGCAAGCACTCTACCACTACATCCTCAATCATTTTTACTTTGAGACAAGGTCTTGCCAAGTTGCTGGCCTTGATCTTGCAATCCTCCTGCCTCAGCTTTCCAGGTAGCTGGGATGATAGGCATGTGCCACCATGCCTGGCTTGAATGGATAATCTTCTTTTTTTTTTAGTTGTCAATGGACCTTTATTTTATTTAATTTTATGTGGAACTGAGAATTGAACCTAGTGCCTCACACATGCTAGGCAAGCGCTTTACAACTCAGCCACAATCACAGCCCCTTGAATGGATAATCTTTAGAAGTTAAAAAGAACACAAAATATCTTAGAGCAAAGAATTAAAAAAAAAAAAGATTAAAAGAAGGAGTACAAATCAAATAATGTTTTAAGAGGTTACTATTAGACATAAAGAAATGATATAAATTTTTAAATTCAGTATCTAGATAAACAAGTGGCCTAAGAACACAAAGTTATCTTCTGAAGGTATATACCAACCCATGGGATAAATACGTTTTTACTGATATCAAAAGAAATGAAAACTACATTTAATTTAAAGTAAATCTGCCTAGTTTGAAACATAAACACAACCTATAAAAAAGTTGGGTCAAACTATTCAGAGTTGTTGATAATCAAATGTTTTTAAGTTACAAAAAAGGGAATTCATATAGTTCAACTTGAATGGAATTGCAGAGAATAATAATAAATTTGAGTATACACTGCTGATGATATTATAAACCAGTTCAGGACTAGGGATATAGCTCAGTTGGTAGAGTGCTTGCCTTGCATGCACAGGGCCCTGGGTTTAATCCTCAACAACACACACACACACGAAAGATGAAACATATATAAACCAGTTCATTTCTTAAGGACAACAATCTCGCAAAATGTAACAAAGGCTTATAGAAATTTGATCCAATAATTCTAAATTAGAAATATCCTGAGAAATTAATGTGAATTTTTATAATTTAATCATGACTGCAAAACATAAGAAAGAACGCAAGTGGTCAATAATTTAAGAATAAAAAATAAAAGACATTATTAAGGCAATAGCAATTATGTGAATTACATTATCATATGGAAATATATGTGTGAAATATGAGCTTAAAATATGACAACTTTATAAAAGGTGTATGACTACTGGAAAAAATTGAAAGTGGTGATTTAAACATATTAATGTTTTACATACAAAAAGTACATGATATAAGGCTTAGTGTGGCAACGTACATCTGTAATTCAAAAGTTGGGAGGCTGAAGCAGGAGGATTTAAAGATTGAAGGCAATGTGAGCAACTTAGTGAGACCCTGTTTCACAGTTAAAAATAAAAAGGGCTGGGGATGTAGTTCAATGGTAGAATAAATACACTGGGTTCAATTCCCAGTACTGGTGGGGAGAGGGGGCGGGATGGGCCAAGTACATGGTATAATAAAAATTTAAGGGCTGGGGATATAGCTCAGTGGGTAGAGTGCTTGCTTCACATGCACAAGGCCATGGGTTCAATCCTTAGTACCACCAAAAAAGAAAATTGAAAGAATGAAAAAAAATGTGAAAAACAATCAAATAAACAAACAAACAAACACCTTGGTCACCAGGGCTGGGGGTACAACTTGGTGTCAGAGAGCTTGCCTAGCATGTGTGAGGCTCTGGGTTCAATACCCAGCACAACAACAATATATATATATTTTTCATTGTATTTATGGAAGTGACTTATCTAAGCCATTTTGCTGAGGTAGTCTGGGAAGCTTAATATCTGTATCGCAATGTTGCTTATTTGTCTTTCCCAGGAGACTATAAGCTTCTAGAGGGCAAAGATTATATCTTATGCTTTGATAAAGAGCTCTGAACCTGGATATACTCTAGTGAATATCCTAAAATGTGAAAAATCTTTGTAAAAATTAAATCTACTTCAAAGGACAGCATCCTTTTGTTTTTTTGATTTCAGAATTGAACTCGGGGGTATTTAATCACTGAGCCACCTCCCCAGACCTTTTTTTATATTTTTATTTAGAGACAGGGTCTCACTGAGTTGCTTAGGCCCTTGCTAAGCTGATGAGGCTAAAACTTTGAACTTGCAATCCTCCTACCTCAGCCTCCCAAGGCACCGGGATTACTGGTGTGTGTCACTCTGCCCAGTTGAATGATAACATTTCTTAAAATCATAAATTAGGAGGAGTAATTATGTAACTTATTTATTTAATATCCACCAAATTTACCCAAATTTAAAGTGAGAAATGAGCTGTGAATACAAAGCAATTAAATAAAGGGATAGTGCAGCAGAATTGTTAGGAATAAAAATTCTACAGTCAGATTGCCTGGGCTTAAATCTAAGTTCCGCCATTTATAAGCTGTGTGATCCCAAGCAATCTACCAAACCCTTTGTGTTTTAAATCCCTTATCTGTAATTTGGAGGATGATTATAGTTCATATGTTACTGGAGTGTTCAATTAGTTATTCCATACAAAATTCTTACAACAATGCTTGCTTGGCATGTAATGCCATTTTTTATATGATTTTGTGGTCTGAATTTCTAGGCCATCTTATAAAATGCATTTCAAACTTCTTCAAACTAGTGCTACTCCAAATATAGCCTGCAAATTGATTATCAGTCTGTAACCTAATTGTTAGTGATCTTCATGAGATAAACAGCTTGCACAAGGATATAAATCAATTCTTTAGTTGATATTTTTTCCCTAAAGCAAAGCTTTCTCAATGAAGGAAATAGCATATTGATTTATAATCTAGTATAAGCTCTGAATTTTATTACAAACAAGCACATTTTTGTATGTATGTGTGTGTGTGTATATATATATATACACACACACATTTAAATATAAATACTATAGAGTGACATCTTATTATAAATATATATAACCTTGCCTGCATTATGAAATAAAAAAGATGCAATACTACCAATTCTGGAGTAAAGTCTCTTTCTCCAAACCAGTTACTCAGATATTCCAAGACACTAGTTACTGTTGCCTAAAAACAAGAAGATAGAATAGGAAAGAGTTGTATTAGTAATAAAATATTTACAAGGGGCTGGGGATGTGGCTCAAGCGGTAGCATGCTCGCCTGGCATGCGTGCGGCCCGGGTTCGATCCTCAGCACCACATACAAACAAAGATGTTGTATCCGCCGAAAACTAAAACAAAATAAATATTAAAAAAAAAAACCTCTCTCTCTCTCTCTCTCTCCCCTCTCTATCTTTAAAAAAAAAAGAGAGAATGATGAGTTAAAAAAAAATATATTTACAAGTTTAACAGGAATTCCACAAAGCTGTTAGAAAACTGACTAGTAATTTGCTTAGATGTCTCACCTAGTGAAGAAAGATTTTTAAGACAAATTTTTTTATTCTGCTTGGGTTTTTTGTTTTTTGATTTTCTTTTTTTGTAGTGCTGAGGACTGAATCAAGGACCTCTCCCATGCTAGGCAAGCATCCTACCACTCAGCTACAATCCCAGCCCAACACAAATATTCTTACATTCTCAAGTATCAACTAAGGCTTTAGTTTTAATCTTAGGATTTAGTTTGTAACTACTAATTTTAGTTTGTAACTACTTGAAAAAACTCATCTGCTCTTAAAAACAATTCTTTGTATAAATAACTTCCATTTATTTCTCAACTTAAAAGGTCAAATGTAGGGCTGGAGTTGTGGCTCCATGGTAAAGCACTTGCCCAGCATGTGTGAGGCACTGGGTTCAATTCTCAGCACCCATATAAATAAATGAATAAAATAAAGGTCCATGAACATCTAAAAAAATTTTTTTTTTTAAAAAAAGGTCAAATCTAAAAATTAGCTAGAGAAAGATCTCTTTTAGAACTATACAGATTAAATCACTTAACTACTGAAAATATTATCTGCAAACAAGTTCACATTATACATTTGGTATACATATATGTGGGTACTTATTAAAAAAAAAATCACGCTGATGAAACTTACTATGACCATTAAGGTATCTAAATGCAAATGATCAACTTAGTGAAACTACCATCTAGAATGATTTCCAGTTGAATAGGATACTCAAAAAAAAAAAGAAATTTTTTTTTTTAATCTTCCAAGGGTATTTAGTGCTATGTAAAAGCAAAACAAAGTATTTACCTTTTAAATGGATAACAGAGTCCCTACTCCTGAAAGACTGAAGAACCAAATTCTATACTTCTCCCCTTTTGATCCTAATCTTTACCTTTTGATCCCAATCTTACGTAATATGTCAGATATCTAGACCTAGAAACGTTAACCTAACCTTAATAATTCATTCAAACTTCAAAGTCTTAAGATTTATTATAGCTGAAATGTACATAAATGAATACCCTGGCACCATATTAAAGAGCATGAGCCCTAGAGTTAGATTTATCTGGCACAGAATACCAGTGCTTTTACTTGCTGAAAAACCACCAGCCAGTAATTTTTTTTTTTTTTTTTTGCACTGAGGAATGAACCCAGGGGTGCTTTACCACTAAACTATATCCATCCTCAGCCCTTTTTTATGGTTAATTTCAAGACAAGGTATTGCTAGGTTGCCAAGGCTAGTCTTGAACTTACAATCCTCCTCAGCCTCCTGAGTTGCTGGGATTACAGGCATGTACCACCACACCTGACTACCTGCAAGTTACTTACCCTTAAATTTTGTTTCCTCGCTTATAAAAAAATGATTATTAATAATAACTCCCCACAGGTCCCCCACAGACTGGGCATGGTGGTGCATGCCTGTAATTCTAGCAGCTCAGGAAATTGAGGCAGGAGAACTGAAAGTTCAAAGCCAGCCTCAGCAAAAGTGAGGCACTACACAACTCAGTGAGACCTTGTCTCTAAATAAAATACAAAACAGGGCAGGGGATATGGCTCAGTGGTCAAGTGCCTCAAGTTCAATCCCTGGTATCCTCCAAAAGAAGAAAGAAAGAAAAATAATAACTCCCCATAAAGGGATATAATAAGGATTAAAAAGAATCACTGAAGAGCATACAACAAGGTCTTGCATGTTGTAAATATTAAATAAATGTATTTGAATACTTCTATACACACTGCAAACAAAATAATGCATATAATATCATTATTAGATGGATTTTTACCTGATTCATTCTGCTAACAATACTAAGCAATGGAGGAAAACCAATCTGAAAGAAAAAAATGAGACTGAAATCTATTAATGCATATAAGAAAGATCTTCATTTTTTTCCCCAAACAAGTTAATTTCTTGCTACACAATTATTTAGTAATACAGATAAAAGAAAAAAAAAATTTTCACTGCCCATTATGAGACATTCTAGAAACTATTGTTTGTAAGGCCCAACAAAATAATATCTCAAAATGTGAATATATAAATTTAAAAATAATTTTAGGGCTGGGGATGTGGCTCAAGCGGTAGCGCGCTCGTCTGGCATGCGTGCGGCCCGGGTTCGATCCTCAGCACCACATACAAACAAAGATGTTGTGTCCGCCAAATACTAAAAAAAATAAATATTAAAAATTCTCTCTCTCTCTCCCTCTCTCTCATTGTCTCTCACTCTCTCTTTAAAAAAAAAAAAAAGAGTTGTGGCCTTATAAAAAGGAGAAATGTTCTCTCTCTCTCTCTCTTTCTTTAAAAAAAAAAATAAATAAATAAAAAATAAAAATAATTTTAGTAACCAAAATGTCGTAAGCATGAAATTTTAAAAAAGGTACTTGAAAAAGTTAAATATAGTCAATAAAATTATAACACATTGTTATATTAATATATCATAGACACTATTTAAAAATCTTCAGTGAAAGCTAAAGTTTTCAGCAATTAAGGGCATTTGAATTAGAATGATATTTTTTAAACCTAATCTGACTCAATTTTTAAAGTATTTTGCTAGGCACAGTGGGATTACAGAATCCCACCTATTTGGGATGCTAAAACAGAAGGATTACAAATCTGAGGCTAGCCTGCTAACTTAGTGAGACTCTGTCTTAAAAACTACAAAAAGCTGGTGATGTGTAACTCAGTGGTAGAGCATCCCTAAGTTCAAGCTCTCATACCTCAAAAAAAAAAGAAAGAAAGAAACCAACCAGCCAGCCAACCACTATGGACTTAAACAAAACTTAAGAACTAATGCATTAAACTTTATGTCCTTAAATGATCTTTCTAACATGGTATGTTTTTACTTGTTTATATTCTGTTAACAAGGTAAATAAATAAATACATTTCTTTACGAAATTAAAACTTTTAAATGTAGTATACATTAAGCATTATCTAAAAGAATAACAGGTTGTCTAAGAAAGAGTGTCAAATTAGCTTCCCTAAAGATTTTAGTCTATTTATACTCCCACACTAGTTAGAAGAGTGCCTGTTTTCCCAGGCTTTGTCAAAACAATATATCAAACTTTCTTTGCCAATATGTTGACCTGAAAAATTGTAGATCAGCAGAGGTATAAAGTTCTATTATAAGTGAAGTTGGGAATATTCTCATATAAGAACAATTTGTATTTCCTTTCTGTAAGATGTCTATATCTTTTGACAGTTATTTGTTTTATTTTGTTTTGGGGTGGAGGCTAATTCTTGGCTTTTTAATGATTTTTGGAGTTCTTTATATTTTGAAAATACATTTATTTTGTTTTGTTTGCAGTACTGGGACTTGAACCCAGTAATGCTCTACCACTGAACTATATCCACCCCCACCTTTTATTTATATTTATTTAATTTTTTAATTTTAGGTGGACACAGTATCTTTGTTTTATTTTTATGTAGTGTTGAGGATTGAACCCAATGCCTCATGCATGCTAGGCGAGCACTCTCCTGCTGAGCCACAAACCAAAGCGCCCCCATCCCCTTTTATTTATTTTTCAGACGTGGTCTTGCTAAGTTGCCCGGGCTGACCTCAAACTTGCGATCCTACTGCCTTAAGCTGGGATTCTGGTATGAGTCACTGTGCCTGGCCTGGAAAAAAAATAAGTTTTAAACAGGAAAAAAACAATATGGTACCATATCTGTTGAACAGAACAATATAACATAGGAAGTAGTAATGAAAATGTATGCAATGTGTTCTACAGGAACATCTGCAAACCCAGAGGCAGATAAATTCTGAAAGACAAGGAGCTGGCCACATAATTATGATTAAAGTCATGTAAAATTTAAGTATACCCCCAACATTTCGTCTCTTAAATATGCAATTTACTGGAGGATCTTTCTAACAGTGTCATGTTTTCTTTTGCTTCCGTGACTACTTACAATGCTTTATGTGACCTATACCTAGTCATTTAAAAAACCCAAATCCTATCCAACTCAAAATTATTATATAGTTAAAACGTAAGAGATAAGAAGTCAATCTAGATTAAGCCAGAGTAAATTATTTTTGAAACTTTGTAAGTTACAGAATCTATAAGCTAAGTCAGTGGTTGGCAAATATTTTCTATAAATAGTCAGATGGTGAATATTTTTAGGCTTTGCAGGTCACATATAATTTCACTACATGTAAACATTTTATTTGTTTCTTTTTTTACAATCCTTTTAAAATATAAAAACCAGTCTAAGTTTATGAGGTGTATAAAAACAGGTTATAGTCTATATTTGGCCCATGTTGTAGTTCACTGACCCCTTTATACTAAGTGATAAACCAAAACTTTAATTTTGGTTTATCCACATATTACCTACTTGTACATAATCAATTCCAGGACTTTCATTTGTAGCTGGTCCAATAGCCCCTTCAGCACATAACCTTTCACCCAGACAAAATTTTTTCCAGCCTTCTTCATCTTCAGATTTTGGCTGAAAGGTGAAAAAGAAATTAACTTTTTTCCAGGTATTTATTTTTATACTGAACACCCAAAATAGAAATAAGGATCTCCCATATCCCTACACCTCAATACAAAGATACAGTACCAGTTAAGGGGAGAACTGTGTCCCCAAATTAATATGTTGAAGCCCTAACCTTCATCTAGTACCTTAAGCTGTGACTTTATTTGCAGATAGAGCCTTTAAGGAAATGATTAAACTTAAATGAAGGCTCTAAGGTGAGCTCTAATCCAATCTGACTAGGAAATCTGAATACTCCAGGAGTTTATTTTTTCCCTCCTCTGAAGATAAATAGCCTTTATTAGATTCTCAGAAGCAATATGTGATTCCCCAAAGATTAAAAATGACTGCTTGAGGGCTGGGGTTATGGCTCAGTGGTAGAGTGCTTGCCTAGCATGTATGAGGCATATGACTGCTTGAGGGCTGGGAATATGGCTCAGTTGATAGAATGCTTGCATAAGGCCCTGGGTTCAATCCCCAGTACCACCAAAAAAAAAAAAGACTGCTTGGAACACCATAACCATTTCTTTCTTCCCCAACTCCTATTTTTACTTGGAAGAGTTCACATAGCTTCTGAAGAGCTTAAAATTATATATAAACTGAAAAAATGTAGAAAATACAATTTTCCAATATGTATGACAGGTTTCACTATTATGTCATCATTACAGTAAAGCTGAGATGATACTCTGTAACCATGTGAGTTTACTACATGGCACCATTATCCTACTAGGAAAACCCAATAACCCTTATTCAGTCTTTTATAATACTGAAAATATATTAATTTCCTAAGAAGCAACTATTCAGCTAAGCACAGTGGAACATGCCTATAATCCCAGCTACTAGAGAGACTGAGGTAGGAGGACAGCAAGTTTAAGGCCAGTTTGAGATAGTGAGACCCTATCTCAAACAAAAACAAAAACAAAAAAAGAAACAACAAAACAAAAGGTACTGTTCAGAAGAATTCTTAAAAACTAGAGAGGTCAAATAATGCCTATTTGTCAACCTAAATAAAAAATTAGAATCAGAGATAATAGTTAACCACGGGCATATTAAAAGAGGTTGAAGCAAGGGGAAGTTTTAAGACAAGAATGAAGGTTATGTCAGAGGTTTCAAAATAATAATATTTGAGCATAGTGATTAAAAACAAAACTGGAGTCATTCTGAAGTTGAACAGACAATTGCCTAGCAGATATCCTTGTAGAAGTTCTTCTGATAAGGTGGCAGTGGCCTTAGTGCAAGGTTGTAGGTTGGCAGAATCCTTTATGACGGACTATTTGGCAACCATGCATAAGAATCGTTCATTACTTCCTGGCTTTCTTTACCTTTAATTGTTGCAGTTGACAAAAGTAGCTCCATTTTGATTATGACAACTTTTACATTTCTTTCACATATCCAAGTCTGCCCAAGATATGGTGGATTAAAACAGTAATGAAAATACCAACTTGCACTATGGGTTATTTTTCAGGCTACTAATATAATGGCATTGTTACTATTAAATAATGGTATGTGAAAGAGAATTAAAATAATATAGACTAAGCAAATGAATCCTTGAAGACTGGAAATAAATATGGATATTTCATACAGGTATACATTGTAAAACTTAAACTGATAAGCTTACATACCATAGTCACATTACTGTCTAACTGTTGTGATTTCCAGTGACTTCTATGTTTGTTCACACTCTAAAGGAAGAAAAGTTGGACAGTGATTCACAAGATGAGTAACTAAAATCACTTTCCATACAAAACTCTAACCACTCTAAAACTTGGAAAATAAGGTACAAACTGTAACATGCCAATGATAATAATTAAAAAAATTGATTCATAAATGTTCTATATGCTTTAAAATCACATATCTTAGCTTTCCAATTATAGTCTAAGAAAAGCAATAAAATCTGAAGAGGGTTTAATTGATTAAATTTGATACTTACCTGTCGAACAGTTGAAAACTGTGCTACTTGTTGCTGTTGCCACATAAGTGTTGGGGAATAACCTTCAGGGGCAGGTTGGCATCCTGAAAGCTAGAGATCATTTCCTAAATGTTAGCATCAACCTCTCATACCTCTACAAAGTAAAAGCAAGATGAAAAATATATAAAACAAGTGAATAACTAAGACTACCTAAGAAAAAAGGGATGGGGATATAGCTCAATAGTCGAGTACTTCCTTAGCATACACAATGCCCTGGGTTCAATTCCCGGCAACACCTCTGCACCAAAGAAAACAAAGCCCCCCAAAAGCAAAACAAAACTAGATCAGGTTTGGTGGCACACATCTGTAATCTCAGCTCCTCAGGAAGCTGAAGCAGGAAGATCTCAAATTCTGAAGTCAACCTGGGCAATTTAGCAAGACCCTATCTCAAAGTGAAAAAAATAAATGGAGTTGGGAATGTACATAGCTCAGTAGTAGAGCTCTTTCATAGTATGTACAAGGCCCTGGGTTCAATGCCTAGCATTGACAACAAAGGAAGAAAAAAAAAGATACTTTTTTGCTGGGTTTCAGTTCTCGCGACTAAAAGGCTCAGGGGTCACTCCAGATAAACTGGGCTAACTGGGCTGCATGAAATAACCACACAAGAGACACAAATACCTTTTTCTTTGGGGTCGCTGTGATGGCTCCTCCGACCTTAAGGGTCCTCAGAAAGAGAGCAAGAGCACGTGCTGACCCCTTTTACTGAGACTGAGGAGAAGTTACTTAAATGAAGCAAGGGGTCAGGTTTCAGGGGGCTGAGTCTATCTTCAAAAAGTCAGCAGGTTGACTGACACCTGGGTAAGCCACACCCAAGGGCACAGTAAGAGAAGGGGACACACACAAGGCACTTCCATGGAATATTCTATCCTAAACAGGGCAAGGGGTTATATTATAAAGGAACAGGTGAGCATAGCTTCACCCATGGGGCTGTAGCAAGACACATCCAGGCACAAGACTGACCCTGGGACCCAAGATGGGTGGGGAAAGCTTTGCCACATTTCTGCAACTGAGCGCCTCAGCACCCAGCCGGGGAGTGTAACTCAGTCATGTGTAAGGTTGGTCTCCCACACTTTTTACAGGTGCAAAATAGCAGGCATTTCACTTTACAATTTATGTCTCAGTTAAAAATGTTAGGACAGCAATGGAGGGTAAGGCAGGATGACTGCAAGTTCCAAGCCAGCCTCAGTCACTTAGTGAGGTCCTAAGCAACTCAGTGAAACCCTGTATCAAAATAAAAAATAAAAAGGACTAGGGATGTAGCTCAATGGTAAAGCATCTCTGGGTTCAATCCCCAGTACCCCCTCCCCCAAAAAGTTAGGAAAAGATCCTCAGCCACTTTAATTAAAAAAAAAAAAATCTGGAATGGGGCTGAGGATATAGCATAGTGGTAGAGTACTTGCCTAGCATGCATAAGGCCCTGGGTTCAATTCCCAGCATAGGGAAAAAAAATTGGAATGGTTTATAGTTGGAGTTTCTAAGAAATTTAAATGATGTAAACCCTAAATGTATAATTCAGTCCTACCATTCTATAACTGCAAAACATAAAAAGAGAGGTATACTTTAAATAAAGAAGTTTGGTATGGGCATAATATATTTAAATAATCTTGACTTTAAAAGTCTACTTGTTTTCTAAAACAGTGCATAGTTCACAACTGATTACATATAACCTTGTAACAATATTTAGTGGGGTCACTTTTTAAGTATTATGTATATAAGACACCATGTTCTATGAATCAAAAACTTCTGAAAAGAAGTTATATGAAACATTATAGTGTTTGAATTAAAATTTTCTTACTATAAGTATGATATAATGGAACTATTCAGAACATATAAAGGAAATTATTAAAACTTTACAATGTCACTTTCCTTTAACTTTAGAGAGATATTATTCTATGACTATTTAATAGTTCTCTTTCATTTATTGATCATGTTTATTTTCTTCAAAAGAAGATTTACAATTACATATTTCATTTGCTTGTTTACTCTCTGCCTTCTCTAGGAGAGTACAAACTCTGGGAGGGTAAGAACTTTTTCTTTCTTTTCTTTTCTTGTGGCGCTGGAGATTGAATGCAGAGGTGATCCATCACTGAACTATATCTAGAGGTCCTTTTCATTCTTTATTTTGAGACAGGATCTCCCTAAATTACCTGAGGATCTTACAATCCTCTTGCCTCTGCCTCCCAAGTCCCCCAGATTATAGAAGTGTGCCACCAACTCTGCCAGGTAAGACTTTTCTATATTATCCTTTTTTGTGTTCTAGAGCCTGGCACAACTTAGTTGCCCAATAAAAAGTGTGCTGAACCTGGGTGCAGGGGTGAACAACTGTAATCCCAGAGGCTCAGGAGGCTGAGGCTGGAGGATCTCAAGTTCAAAACCAGCCTCAACAAAAGTGAGGCACTAAGGAACTCAGTGTGACCCTGTCTATAAATAAAATGCAGAATATGGCTGGGATGTGGCTCAGTGGTCCAGTGCCCCTGAGTTCAATCCCCACCAAAAAAGTGTGCTGGATAAATAAGTGAATGAAAATGCCCACAGTTGTAAGTAACAAGAAAGGTTTAAGACATTTGGGTTTTTACTCTTAAAAAGTGATATCAGGGCAAATTCAGAACGTGCAAAACTACATTAGATAAGATTAAACATCAGTTCAATAATAATGATCAAGACAGAGCCAGAAAAAACTTCCAAAAAAAAAATGTAACAGAGACTCCTTTAGCACACGATTATGTCCTTAAAATAAGATGACCAAGTCACTACAAATATCAGTGTTACTGAAAAATCTCTGGAGAAAGTCAACTGTTTCTATGGAGGAAAAAGTACAAGACAACGTCTCTCTTTGTAGGGAGTACTCAGATCTTACCTACACCATAATTTATACTATTGGATAGTGTAAGAAGAGCCTTAGTGTGTTAGAGAGACAGACAAACGGACAGACAAATCTCCCAGATGGTTATTAAAACTCACAGAAACATTCACACTTTGCTTTCTTTTCAACTTCTTTGGGTCAATTTGAGCTACCACAACATCTGGACACTGAGCAGCTTCGATCCTAAGTAATAAACGCAAGAAATTTAATTACTATTGTGCTTTACTCATGTAATAAAACAAGTGATTCATTTTAGTTCATTATGAAATCAGAAAAAAAAAATCTAGACTTCCGATAGAGGTACTAAACAACAAACATACGTCCGAAATTATTTGGATTAAAAGCAAGGAAATCCAAGAGCATGTCTTATGTGTGCAATCAAATTCAAAGGGAATTTGCCCGTGCCAGGAAATAATCCTTGAGATTTTGAGCAGTCCCTATTTCGCGAGAGATTGGGACTAGAACAGAGGCGGGGCTTTGTCGCACACGGCTGTAGATGGGCAACAGGCGCTGTGCCCTGGACCTGGGCGGATAACCAGCCCACCCTCACAGAGCCGGATCACTCACTGAACACGCCTCAGGTATTCCTGAGGCGTCCTCGGAGGTACCGAGGGGTCGAAACCTTCCGCCAAGTCGCAGGGCTCCACCGGCAATAGCCGGGGCATCAACTCTTCCACTGCAGACTCCGATGGTACCCACGCCATGGCCTTGGATGAGGCCGGCCCTGAGCAGCGCATGCGCCTAGTGCAGGTCATGGCGCAGGCGCACAGTCAGGCAACTTTGGCGCGGAGTTGAGCAAGCGGCTGGGCGGAACGGAGAAACTGCGCGTGCGCAAGCCTGTTGCTTTTCCCCGACATTTACACCCAGTCGGAGTTTAATTCATGCAAAAGCTATCCTGAATTGTGTCTGAAGACTGTGGGTGAACTTTTATGCATTCCTAATAGTGTTTTTTAAATAAATGAGCAATATTACTATAATTATCATTTATGGAACGCTAAATTCTTCAACCTCTGGTAGGCAATTTACATTGCACCTTAAAATTGATAACATCTGGACATTGAGCAGCTTCCGATCCTACGGATAAATAATAATCGCAAGACATATTAATTGGTATTGTTATTTACTCATATAGTAAAACAAGCGATTCGTTTTAGTTAATTATGAAATCAGAAAAGGAAAAAAAATCAAGTTGACCCAAAGAAGTTGAAAAGAAAGCAAAGTGCGAAAGGGTGTTTTTTTCCGGTTTCGAGGGGTAGAAGGTGACCTAAAAAGTGGTTAAGTATTGCGACTTTCTCCTAAAGAGACAAGTCCAATCTAGATTTATTTGATGCCAAATGAATGAAAAATTAATTTTTTTGCTGAGATTTCTCCTGCTTGGCCACTTCAAAGATTGCTTTATTTTTATTTGAAATGATTATTACTCCTGAGGTAGCTATCACCTCCCCACAACTCTTTTTTTTTTAATGACAGCAGAATGCATTACAATTGTTATTACACATATAGAGCACAATTTTTCATATCTCTAGTTATATACATAGTATATTCACACGAGTTCGTGTCTTCAGACCTGTACTTTGGATAATAATGATCACCTCTGCACCCAACAACCACTTTCCACCTCACTTCTGACCCCATGCCCCCTCCCCCTCCCTTCCCCTTCAACCCCTCTGCCCTATCTAGAGTTGGTCTATTCCTCCCAGCTCTGGGCTCCCCATCCCACTATGAATCAACCTCCTTATATCAAAGAAAACATTCGGCATTTGTTTTTTGGGATTGTCTAACTTCACTTGGCGTTATCTTCTTTAACTCCATCCATTTACCTGCATATGCCATGATTTTATTCTCTTTTATTGCTGAGTAATATTCCATTGTGTATGTATGCCACACTTGCTCTTTTTAAAAGAAAAAAAAATCTCTGCTTATGCACGAATAGTGCAAGGGAAAAAGCTAATGCCAACACCTACACATTATTACTGTTATTACATCAATCTTGTGAGTTAGGTACTATTATATTCATTTTACAGATAGGAAATAAGGCAGGAATGGATTAAGTAGTTTGTGTTGGGTCACAAAGTGCAATAAATAATTGGAGTATTATATCTGACTCTAGACATGCTTTGAATGAATTCAATTAATTTACAACCAGATGTTTAATAAGACTTTTTAAAGAAAAAGCACTGCCTTTAACTTGCAAAGAAATGACTTTAAACCTAGTGTAACTCTTTTTAAAAAAATATTTATTCTTAAGTTTTAGGTGAACACAATATTTGTATTTTACATTTATGTGGTGCTGAGGATTGAACCCAGTACCTCGTGCATGCTAGGCAAGCGCTCTACCACTGAGCCACAATCCCAGGCCCCTAATGTAGCTCTTAATTGAAGATAAAATGAGGACAATCTTTAGGTTAAGAGGAATTAGTGCTTACAATTTTTTTATTCATATTTTAGTTGTTTTTTGTTGTTGTTGTTGTTGTTTTAGGTGGACACAATATCTTTATTTTTTTTTAAATTTTTATGTGGTGTTGAGGATCCAACCCAGCGCCCCGCGCATGCCAGACAAGCGTGGTACGCTTGAGCCACATCCCCAGCCCTAGTGCTTACAATTTTAACTAGACAGTTGGGGGACAGAAAAACACTGCCTGGCTGCAGTCAAACTAGAAAGTTATTTGTTTAAATATTTTTTCACTGATTTTGGAGAAACAGATTTAGAAGAAATACAGAGAAATAATCGTATTTCCCTACATGTTGGTGATAATAACAAATTTGAAAAAGTAAGCTGTAACTGTATTTCTGGATTTCCTTACAAATACAATTTCAAAATGTGAATTGTTAGCAGTTTTATCCTATTTTTCTGGAAAAATGAACAGATGATTATGTAGCCAGCCACCAATGGAACAAAGCTTAACACTGGATTCTGCACACATATGTGGTGTCAGAACTACCTATGGATCAAGAAAGAAAGGAGAAGAAAAGCAGGAACTAAGGTGGTCTTAGGAAATAAATTATTTTTTCAAAAGAAGAGGTGAGTAATAAGTGTACTAATGATTCTGTAATGAGTTTATTCAGGACAGAGGAAAATAAATTTTATAAGGGTAACTTTCGGTTATTTCAAATGCAATCTAACTTAAAATAATTAGTAATGAACTTTGGAAAATAATTTTAATATAGTTAAAAACTGGAATTGGTACTAAGTATTTTTTAATGTTTCTGAGAGATATGAGACATGTAAGAATAAGCTATATTTGGTTGATAAAATTATTCTGAAAAAAATTCTTAAACTTTGGAAAGCTGAACTTCTAAATCTATAACTGTCATCTAACCTCTCCTCAGGAAGAACTTTTCTGAGGTAGCGACTTTCTTCTGGTTCCAGTTTTTACAGATTTCCAGTCAGTTTTCAACTTTCAATGAAAAGATTTTTGTGGGTAAGTATTTTTTTATTTTTTAGTTGTAGTTGGACACAATACCTTTATTTATTTATTTATTTATTTTATTTTTTTTATTGGTTGTTCAAAACATTACAAAGCTCATGACATATCATCTTTCATGCATTTGATTCAAGTGGGTTATAAACTCCCATTTTTACCCCAAATACAAGTTGCAGAATCACATCGGTTACACATCCACATTTTTACATAATGCCATATTAGTGACTGTTGTATTCTGCTACCTTTCCTATCCCCTACTATCCCCCCTCCCCTTCCCTCTCATCTTCCTTCTCTACCCCATCTGCTGTTATTCAATTCTCTCCCTTGTTTTTTTTTTTCCCCTTTCCCCTTACAAACTCTTATGTGTAATTTTGTGTAACAATGAGGATCTCCTTCCATTTCCATACAGTTTCCCTTCTCTCTCTCTTTCTCTCCCCCGACTCGTCTCTGTTTAATGTTAATCTTTTCCTCATGCTCTTCCTCCCTGTTCTGTTCTTAGTTGCTCTCTTTATATCAAAGAAGACATTTGGCATTTGTTTTTTAAGGATTGGCTAGATTCACTTAGCATAATCTGCTCTAATGCCATCCATTTCCCTGCAAATTCCATGATTTTGTCGTTTTTTAGTGCTGCGTAATACTCCATTGTGTATAAATGCCACATTTTTTTTTATCCATTCATCTATTGAAGGGCATCTAGGTTGATTCCAGAGTCTAGCTATTGTGAATTGATTTATTTTATTTTTTATGTGGTGCTGAGGATCGAACCCAGGGCCTCGCACGTGCTAGGCAAGCTCTTCCACTGAGCCACAACCCCAGCCCTATTTAGTATTAAGTATTTTTTGACATCGGTGTTTGTCTGTTGAGGTTAAATGAGGACTGTGAGAACAGAATACTCCATTGAGTGTTCATTGATGATATAGTTCTTTCTGATGATGGTGATATCTAAATCAGACCTAATAAAGCTAAATGCAAAGGTTGGCTCTGTGTTTTCTATACCTTTAAGCAACCCTGTTAGTCTCAAGTATTAATGCATATAAGAGTCATATGAAATAAATTGTAAAAATTAGTTCATAATTCTATCCTTTCTCCATTTTTTTCCCCAGTACTAGGGATGAAACCCAGGGGAACTCTACCTCTGAGCCACATCTCCAGCTTTTCTTATTTCTATTTATTTATTTATTTAAAATTTTGAGACAGGGCCTCGCTAAGTTGTTTAGGGCATTGCTAAGTTGTTGTGGTTGGCCTGGAACTTGTGAGCCTCCTGCCTCAGCCTCCCAAGTTTCTGGGATTACATGTGTGTGTCACCACTCTATTTTTGTTGTGCTTGGAGTCTGGTGGACAGGGAGACATGTTTTTGTTGATTTTTTAAAAAAAATTTTGGTACTGGGGATTGAACTCAGGGGTACTTAACCACTGAGCCACATCCCTATCCCTTTTTATATTTTATGTAGAGACAGGGGTCTCGCTAAGTTGCTGAGCTGGCTCCAAACCTGCAATCCTCCTGCCTCAGCCTCTGGAAGCTGCTGGGATTACAGGTGTGAGCCACTACATCTGGCTGGGGAAACATTTTAACATTAACTGGGGAAAGTACTACTACGGAAAGGTTCAAGAGGGTCTTTCTGCATAGAAAATAAATGAAAACCATATGAGAAAAAAGACTACTCAGAGCTTCCTATAAGGAGTCAGTCACTACTACCATGTACTGTTTAGTAGAAATCAAAAGCAGATAGGGGAATAGGAAAAACTTGTAGTGGAAAAAGGAAAAGTTTCATGGAGAAGCCATAGGTTGGCGCTATGGTTTGAATGTACCCCCTGACATGTGTTGGAAACTACCCCAAATTCATTTTAATGGTATTTGGAGGTGGAACCCCATAGTGATATTTACTTATTTATTATTATTATTGTTATTTTTGGTTGTTCTGGGAATTGAACCCAGGGCCTTGTGTGTGTGAGGCAAGCATTCTACCAACTGAGCTATATCCTCAGTCCTCCATAGCAATATTAATGTCTTTATAAGAAGAGAGATGTTTGGGCTGGGTTGTGGCTCAGTGGTAGAGTGCTTGCCTGGCATGTGTGAGGTCCTGGGCTCCATCCTCAGCACTGCATGCATATAAATAAATTTTTAAAAAGACCCATTGACAATCAAAAAAAAATTTTTTTAAAGAAAAAGAAAAAGAAATGTTTTACTTAACTTTTTCACTGCTGTGACTAAAGGACTCGACTACCAAAAAGGTGGAAAGTTCATTTGAGGGCTCACAGTTTCAGAGGTCTCAGTTCAAAGAAGTCCCGAACCAGGCCTCCAGGCTCCAGGTGAGGCTGAACTTCACAAAAGTGTGTGTAATGATCAGAAAGCACGGTTTCTCTCTCTCTCTCTCTCTCTCTCTCTCTCTTTCTGTCTGTCTCTTTCTCTCTCTCTCTCTCTCTCTCTCTCTCTCTCTGGCTGTCTATCTATGAATCCCATAGTCAAGCCCCCAATGAACCACTTTCAATAGGCACACCCCCACAGCCTCTAGCTTCCACGCCTCCAACCACCAATCAGGGAATCAATCCATTGATTAGATTAAGGCTATAATTATTTCTCTTCCAAAACTTCTTGCATTGTCTCACATGAACTTTGGAGGGACACCACCTCTAAACCATATCAAGCAGCCTGAGCTAACATATTTGCTCAAACTTGCCATGTTGAAGCCAGAATTAGGCAAGTAGGCAAGGGTTGGATCTGAGAGAATGGAGGAATTGAAATGTTAATTTCTTCAGAGCCCTTCTTCCACCCTAATCAAGATAACCTGCCCCTGCTCCAACCTGCTGCTAAGGTAACCTGTCCCAGGGATTGTCCCTCCCTATAGGGAGTTGTTAATTACACCCCCTTCCTTTCTGGATTACTCCTCTCTGGCTCCTTCAGCCCACCTGTTTCCCACCTTTTGGTAATCCCATTCAAGTATTTCCTGGGCCTAGTCACATAGGCTGGATGGAGAAAGATAAGGGGAAGAGAGCAGGTGAACAAAGCAAACCTGTAAAAAGATAAAGACTTCTTGGGATGCAAAGATACCAGCTATGGTCCCCTTCTCCTTCCTGGGACAAGTCTGTATTAACCCTTTTTAAATAAATCCTGCTTATATGCTTGCCTCCTTGTGCTTCTCTAATGTTATACTTCAACATGTGAGGAAGCAGGACCAGTAACCAGTAACCGGCAGTATCAATGTGATGCTCTCTGCTGTTTTATAAAGCAGAAAGAAGATCCTCACTAGAAACTGAACAGACGCGCTAGCATCATGGCCTTGGACTTCCCAGACTCCAGAACTTCTATTATTTATAAATTACACTGTCTGTGGTATTTTGTTGTGGCAACAGACAATAGATTAGGACAGCAGGCTAACTAGATATAGGACATCCTGTGTGATCGGTTAAGGGTGCATATTTGGCTTTATCTGGTTAGTTCTAAATTGGAATTGCAGACAAATTAGGAAAACTATCAAATATTAATCAAATCCTAGATATTTTGTACTGATTATTATAGTTTTTTTTTAACTTTCTGGGTTGTTGCTAGAGTTAGTATTCTGACTTGCTAAAGTCTATCTTATAGCAGGCTGTTTTCCCAGGTTGGTTATTGTAGATGACAGATTGAGGTTATGGTTTGGATATGAAGTAGCCCCCAAAGACTCTTGTGTTGAAGGCTTTGTCTCCAACTTAGCAATGTTCAGAGGTAGGACCTTTGGGAAGTGATTGGAGCATGAGGATTTTAATTTCATTGATGCCAATGATGGAATCATATCTAAATGGATTATTGGGACGTGGTGGAAACTGAAGGAGGTGGAACCTATAATACTGCTGGTTGCTGGTGATAGTGAGTTCCATTTCCCCAGATGTTCAAGATTGAACACTGGAGAAATGGGAGGAAACAAAGAGACTAGCATAGAAACAAGTTTACTTAAAGACTAGAAACAGACTGCTGGGCTGGAGGCAGGAAAGAAGGAGGCCATATCTAGTATCCAAGGAAGTGGGAGTGTCCTGCCCCTTTTATACATCTCAGATTTTCTTTGTTCTCATGCCCTCCTTCCCATCTTGCCTACATGACCAGTGACCAGGGTAAGCAAAATGGTGAAAGCCAAATGGGCAAGGGAAGGGCCAAATGGTGGAGTGATCCATGCAGTATGGTAATAGCCAGGAGATATCACTTCATAACTCTTACAACTTCCTGCAGAGAGGAACAATTCCTGGGGCAGATTACCTTAGCAACAGGTTGGAGCAGGAGCAGGGGGAAGGGCTTTGGAAGGAGGCAGGGGAAAGGGCAGCATTTGATTTTCTTTCTAACTAGCCACCACCTTCCTGCTGGAATTGTGAGGCAAAATAAACTTTTCTACCCTTAATTTTTTATTTTTCCAGGTATTTTGTTATAGAAAAACTCCAAAGCAACAAATTCCAGGGAAAGTTCTGTGAGCTTTTAATGACCCACTGGTAAAAAATCAGAGATAGTCGATGAAGATATATGCAGAGAGCTCTAATTTGCTTCCTAGAGCACATGTGCTCTGGGTATGAGCAGTCTCGTTATTCTTGCTGAGAGTGCTGTCCTCAGGCTCTAGGTGCAGATCTAAAAAGGGATTGAAAGCTGACCTGATGTCTGAAAATCAAGGTAATGTCTAATTTAATCACAGAATCCTAAACAAAAACTTTAATCCTCTTTCAAAGTAAAAATACAAATCTAGTTTCTTTCTTTAAGTGAGATTTATTTCCTTTGCTGTATAGCTTCTATAAATTCTGTGTTCTTTGCCAGGCATGGTGGTTCATGCCTGTAATCCTGGTGACTTGGGAAATTGAGGCAGAATTGCAAGTTTGAGGCCAGCCTTGGTAGCTTAGTGAAGCTCTAAGCAATTTAGGGAGACCCCATTTCAAAATAAAAAAAGGTAGGGGATGGCTGGGGATGTAGTTCAGTGGTTAAGTGTTCCTAGGTAGTTAAATCCATATAACACACACACAGACACACACACAAAAAAAATCTA